ACCAGATAAAAGGCAAGAAATTTATTTGATTTTTCAGCGTAATGTTAGCATAAAATAAATTACTTTTTGGAAACTGTTTTCACAGTTGCACTCTCCAGGCATTCTGCTGTTTATCTAGTGAAGAAAAATGTTGGGCATTGCATTAGTTTTCTAACGATAGTTTACCTAAACCATGTCCATATGTTCCTGATAAAATTACCACTATAACTGCTTTCACAATTCATGTGCACAGATGAAACTTTCCACTGCATTCTGCCTCACAACTGCCAGTACATAGTGTAAATTTCATTCATATTAAGCTGAAGGTTCAAAAGTTAACCCTTTTGGGTAGTGTCCTTCCTTAAACAAAATCTAGCAGATTTCGTTCAGTCTATTGGCAAGCACCCATTCATCCATAGCCAAAACTAGTCTAATTTTTACATAAGCTACTTATTGATTCACCGTGACTTCAAAGAGTCAAAGACCACCAGAGAGGTAAAAAAAACGAGGGATTTCATATAAAAAATAAACTATTATGCGTCCTTATACGTATTCGAATATGCATCAACCTTCTCTGTATACTCAAATATTGCTTCTTAAATCTCAAACATGAAGAAACAATCACAACCTGACCAATGATGTATGCAGGTATTCAAGACATTGCAGGGGCCCTAAACTCGTCAGATACAAAGTTGTAGCAGAAAGTTCGCGGAGCGCGCCGATTGGATGTCGACGAGAAAAACGCGAAGTCATTGTCGTGATTGTCCAATCGGCGCGCTCCGTCAACTTTGCCTCCAACTTTGTATTTGACGAGTTTAGGGCCCCAGTTATGCATAATAACTGAGGTTCTCTTTGGACAACTTTGCTGCGATGTTGCATCATCATATCAACACGTGCCGTGCACATTCCAAATTTTTATTTTTTTAAACACCACACTTGAAAGAAATTTTCTCCAAGAACGCATCTGCGTTGCAGCAAAGCACAGCATGCAGAATCGCTTAGCCCAAAATATGGTTGCTTCTCTGCAGTGCGCAAATGCCTATTATGAAGCGCACTTGCCAGAGCTACCAAAGCCGCTCAAACTTTGAGCAACTAGAGCTGGCTATATGTTGGAGAACTTCCGACAACTGTCACGTTTAATCTGAAGGTCGAACCGAACGGTATGTAATCTAAACCAATATTACAAATCGTCCAAAATGGGCATCATCCTACAGTAATGAATCGACAATGTACCGAGACCTAAATTAGTAGAAGGCAATCAAGGACCAAAATGAGCTTCTGGCAAAGAGTTGGTGCAAATTCGTCAAATTTTGGTGACTTGTAGCAGCATGTAGAAGGGTGAGCCCATTGCTACACTTTGGTGTAATTAGCACAACAATCACATCACTGAACTTGGCAGTAAATCTAAGAAGTCCCTTAAAATCTAACCTGTTTTTTTTTATTTTCTGCTTTAGGTTGTCTTTTCTCCCTTTAGAGCACAAAGTGCATCTTGGGGACAGAAAAGTCACTAAGGGTTTTTCTGACCGGTTGTTGTTCTCTGTTTATAATTAAGGGAAGATCCATTGGTGAATCCTTAGGGAATGCGTTAACATGACCCTTGAGAAACGCCACACACGTCTCCCCTTGATAAACGCTAATGTTGACCCCTTCACTTTTAATGCGAAAGCATAAACTGGTCCCATGGAGCGAGCCAACACAATCAGCTTTGAAATCGCGCCAAACGGCACCTTAAATCCTTTCTCTAAGTGAAGCCAGCTCCCAGCTATGAAACCACGCGAAATGCCTAGCCAAACGGCACCTAGTTTTCCCGATCTCATAGGAGCGGAGTAAAGCTGATGGATTTCAGCTTCGGTCCCATTAGCTGGTGCGCAACGACGAGGCTCCCATTGGCTGCTGCGCGTCAGTTTCAATGACGGCCACCCCATGGCACTGCGTGTCCGTGAGACAGCAGCTCCACTGCTCCATAACCAAGGTCAGCGCGTGCACTTGACCGTCGACGCAAGTAAAAAAAAAATAAAAGAAGGGAGCGGAAGAGCAACGTGCATGCTTTCGCATTAACAACTCATAAGAAGTGCTTAGGTGTTACCTCAAGCCTTTTCTGTTTTGGCTTTCACTTTTGCTTCCTCTACTTTTTGCTGCCTCTTTTTGGCATCGTTAGAAGGTCAGAGCTGCATTTCCCAAAAGGGGACATGTGTGGCCTTTCCCAAGGGTCATGCTAACGCATTCCCTAGGATCTTCCTTTAATTTTTTTCCGGCAAAGCGGGCTTGCCAAACCCGCTTCGCACCAGTGTTTGTTGCACCCAGACCCACACCGGCCTGCCGCTCCTTGTGCCGCATTCCAGCCGGCCGAGCTATGCGCTGCTTTTGCTCCTCTGTCTCATTCGCCCACCTTGCACGCTTAGCAGCAGCATCCTCCCCCTGAACATGATTGTAAACCTGAGACTGGGGCAGAAAAGAGAGCACAACAGAAGGTAGTAAAAGAGGAGCACTACCTTCTGTTGTGCTCTCTTTTCTGCCCCAGTCTCAGGTTTACAATCATGTTCAACTTACACCAGCTCGCCTGCACTCTATTTTTTCGTTAATCCTCCCCCTGAAGCTGCTTTCGTTGTTCCCTAGTTTCCCACGCGTGCATTGGCTTCCGCACAGTGACGTTGCCTCCCTTTTGCCTTTGTCCTTCAATACCCTCCTGCTCTCTATGCAGCACGCCTCCCTTTCCACTGTTTTCTCCACGGACAGACGCCTTCAGGTTTTCCGTCATCTGGGTACTAATGCCAACGCATTAAAAATTCTCGCTCGCTCGCTCGCTTACCCGACCTTTCACTGGGCCAAAACATCTTTCGCATTTGTCTCTTGTATAAGATTTACCATTCCAACCCAAAAGTCTACATTTCATTCCACAGCAAGCATCAGTTGAAGGTTGGCATATCGTGCAGTTGCACCACTTCAGCTCCTTCACCCCAAAGACTTGAACCGACCGGACCCACCTCCCTGCCTCCATTGCTCCTGTCACCAACTTGTTCAAAACTGCCATGGCTAATCATTTTATATTATCCTCCCATCGTGTTTATTTCTGTTGTCACTCTGTAATACATCAGCCTCGAGAGTAAATAAAATATTTTTAAAAAAAAATCCAAGGACACCTAAGCACTTCTTACGAGTTGTAAATGCAAAAGCATGCCACCTGGGACGTATTGCTTCCGCCTCGCGTTGTGGAAGGGCCTCCCTCTTGCCACTCGAGACTCTTTGAATCGCGATTCGCTTACACCTCACACTTTCGAAAGGCTTTGTTCTGTCTCATAGCGCGTTGCGCAGCTGCTCGTTCCACCCACCGTGTATTCAGAGACTTGACAACGACTGTGGATTTCGCTGACTGCCTCCTCGCTAGTTGTGCTACGTTATTCCACTCCCTTAGTTCGTCTGCGGTGTACTTGCATGGACGGGCAGGTTTCGCTACTGCAGAGGTTGCGGCCGCCGACAATGTAGAGGCGCCGCCATCTTCGTCAGCGTCGAAAATAGCAGAAGCGGCCAAGCATGCACCACAATGTTCCTTTTACCGGCGCGCTGCCGGCGCGGGACCCACAGCGCCATGGGGTCGCGTTCCTTGAAACTATGATGCGCACCAGCCAATGGGAGCCTATCCATCAAATCACTGCTACAGATGACAGGCTTTGCTCCATTGGGACAGGGGAATTTAGGTGCCGTTTGGAAGCGGCTTCAGAAGATGATAACGTTGGTTCGCTCCATGGCACAGTTAATGCTTTCGCTTTAATAAATAAAACCACAGCCAGGTGTTTTTTCGTTGTTTTTTTTTTAGAAACACAACCACGCCGAAGTCCCATTTAACGCCGTGTACACCCCAAAGCAGAGCATAAAAAACACCTTGTTCTTCCATATCAAGTGAGAAATGAGCAATATGCTCTTTCCTAGGATAGTCCAAATATTCGAATTTTCTAATAATTTCGAATAATACGCTATTCGATACAGACTTCGAGAGACCACAGATTTGTCTAAGAGTCAACTCCAAGGCAGAGGGAAGTCTAAAAAACAGATGTTCAAAAAAGCACGCCAAGCCGTTTGTGCCTTGTGCCACGGGTGTTGTTTACAACATACCACTATCCTGCGGCCGCTCCTACATTGGACAAACAGGACGCTGCCTAAACGACAGGCTCCGTGAGCATGACTACTCCCTCAGAGCCACGGTGGGTGGGAATTTTTCACTTCACTGTAAAGAATGTCTATGTGAACCGTCTTTTGATGCCACCACAGTTATGGGAAGACACCGGGACAAAACAACCCGAGAGGTTCTGGAGGCTTTTTACATCCACAGTGGAGGAGCAAGTTGCATCAGCACACCATCTGTCTCGTTGTCCAACAAAGAGTTGGAGTTCATGAAACTGACTATGAAGGCCCAGCACGTGCCATAGCGACCACATATCATGGCACAGGTTACATGTGCGAATTATGGTGACCAAAATATTCTTCTTTCTCTTTTTCTTCTATTAAAATATCTAGTTGCGAGTCAGCGCTCTGTTCTATCCGGTGTGTCTCTTCCCTTTTTTTTCCTTTTGCGCTGTGTATTTGTAATTAGTAAGTGAAAGCCTTTTCCGTGACTGGTGCAGTCCCTGTCACGTGACAAAGTCACATTTGAACTGATTGGTCATGTGGTCCATGAGAGAGGGAAAGGTTGAATTTTGAAGAAGGGAATGGGGGAAGATCTCGGGGGACCGGGGCCGAGACTCTGGACGAGTAAGGATGGTCTCCTAAGTTGGGAGTTGTAACATGGGTGTGTAAATAAATTCGGCCAAAACCACTACTTGCTTCGATCTAACTAAAATCCACTATTCGCACTTGCCTACTTTTTCCGCTAAAGTAAGTGGACGGGTGGTCATGTGGCATCAGTGTCACATGACCCTTTAGCAAGAAAACCTTTCTGCACATTTCGAGAGGATCCAGGCTGTTGTTACAACACCAGATGGTGCAGTGAGGTACATGCGGACCAGACTCCAGGATGGCCGCCTCACCTGATCTCATGGTCTGCCTGCGAGCCCAGCGATCCCAGCCGTGACTGGCCAGCCGCAGCGTGCAGCCCAGGTAGTGCCCCACCAGCAGTGCTGTCTGGCCACACAGCTGGGGGTCCGGGTGGCTCACAAACTCCAGCACGTCCCAGATCTTCTGCGCCTCATCTGCACATGGAGAGTAGGGCTCAGCTGGGACCCACGACATCCTCAAACAGCTTCTTCAAACTTTACAGTGGGACCAGCTTTTATTTTTTTTTTTTAATGCGTTAGCATTAGAACGTTTGTTTTGACAAAAACCCGGCAATGTCTTTCGTTTGTCAGCACCGGGGAGAGAGGGAGGAAAGGGAGAGGGTGACACATGCGACGCTCCCATTGGTCCGGAGCGCTGACGTTGTGGGGATTCCTCTGGTCTCCCTTCCCCGATGGCTGCGATAACGGCCGCGGGTCGGAACGCTCGGCCGCCTTCGCCGTGAGCTCCGACCTGTTCGTGAGGCGGAAGGCCGCCTGGCTTGGGGGGCCCTCCTCTCACTCTATCCCGGGGGGACCGATTTCCGTCCCCCCGCTCGGACGCGGATCACTGCTGACAGGCGAGGAGGTTTCGCCTCTTGTTCTCCCGCTTTCGGGAAATGGACTCGTCCGGGTGACCGCGAAAGAGATAGGACGTGTGTCGGCGACTTCTCCGATGCTTCCCCGGTCTTGGCTCTCCGGAACCCCGCGTCTGGCCAGGTAAGGACCTTTTCTTACCTTGCCGGCGCGGAGGGGCATTTTGGATGGGGACATTGTAGTTCATTTTAAGAGTATGTTAATAAATGCTCTTGGACTCTGTCCTTACTCTGGTACGTGTGTCTTCTCTTCCGCTATATTCGAGAGAGTGAGAAAGGTAGACGATCATTGGCACCGACGGAGGTAATTAATCGAACCAACCCGCGGTAGTGTAGCCCTAAACGTCGTCTATATTGCCGCGGAGATGTGGGGACCGCGCTACTAGGTTTGACGTCTCCTTTGAGATATCACCGCTGTTGAGACAATCCTTTGGTTACTCTATCGGTACCTGTGTTGGTAGCAAGATCCCACATAAAATGGCGCCCCACGTCGGGCGCCAGAATATGTGGGATGGTCACGGGTGGTGGTAACTGAAGGGTTCAGCGGCGGTCTCTAATCGGGAGACGCCAAGCCTACTCCCACACCCCGCAGCTTTCTCTCGAGAACACCGCTACGGGCGGGTCCGAACGTCAGCCGCACAACTGACCGCTTCTCTAAAAAGGAGGAGCACGTACCACAATAGGACTGGGTCCAACGGTGTTTATTGGAACACCAAAAGACACACTGTCCCCAAAACCCCTGCGTCGACAAGGTCAGATGAAAAGGCTCACCCTGTCGACACTGTCCCGAGAGCGCAGTCCGGAGCGGGCAAAGGAACTCCTCCCGCGGATGCGATAGAGATCGGACGTGTCGCGAAGGACTTCCGACACCAGCTGTTCTTCGCTCTGGGTTTCCGTATTAACGGTGCGTGGGCTGTGATGTGTGTTGTGTGTAGATAAAACGATAGGTGCGGTTCGCTCCACGAGTGATATGGATATGGTTCCTTCCACGAGTGGTATGAATATGGTCCTTTCTACGAGTGATATGGATGACGTACAGTATCCAAAAGCATCGACATACTCTGACAGGCAGTCTTGGGGAACGCCACACGTCTCCCTCTGGAAAACGCTAACACTGACATTGTAACGAGGTCAAAAAGAGGCAGCAAAAAATGGAGGAAGCAAAACAGAGCCAAAAGAGAAAGCCAACACAGAAAAGTGAAGGGGTCAGCGTTAGCGAGTATTAGAGAGGGAGGTGTGTGGCGTTTCCCAAGCGTCATACTAACACATTCCGTACGAATCTACCAATAGATCTTTCGGTATTTTCCCACACAACGCCTTTTAGCGCAAGCGAAATAGGATATGCATCGCGTCACTGTAGTCGTACCATGCTATGCTCAGCCAAGTTTAGTGGGCTAACATTCAGCTATATTTAGCAGGACGAAACTATGGGTCACATGGTCGGTGCCACTGAGTTCCGTGGTCTCGTAGCTTGTGCCGCTATATGTCATGTGACCATGCAACATGTGTAAGATTATGGCAGGCCACATAGCTTACAGTGTCATGTCATAGTGCCATGTGGTGTCAGGTCGCATGACATCATACTGTAACATGACTTGCAATGCGAAGTCATTGTGTTCCATAGCATCATGGCATCAACGTTATAAGACCTATTAACGTTGGGTGTCAAGTTGTGGTGCACGTGAAGTCACGTCACATGAGCATATTGCAGGAAGTAAGGTGACCTGACATTGTGCCACTTGATGCAACACCTGAACCAGCATGCCTTTAGACTTTGGCTGCAGCTTTGGTGTTGCATCTAAAAACATGCTGCTCTTTGTTAGCTCTTGGGGAGGGCATACCTTTAAAAAGTCACCCATTTTATTGTCCGGGGAGGAAGTGCCACCTACCCCCAGATATCCCAAACATCTTTGTTTTTTGGAAACAGGGACCAATGGCAGCACAAATTTTGCGAGCCAGTGTGAGTAACTTTTGTTGTCTGTTTGAAAGATGGCACCAATAAATGATGTCGTCCTTTGACCGGGTTGCCGAGCTGCTGCAAGATGAGGATTCCGACTGGGATACTGATGTGTCGAGTTCACGCAAATGTTCCTCAGGATCTGAGGCTGAAGATGATAAAACACAGCAGCTAGTGATAAGAACACCTTCCATCTCCGCGTCTATTCCAACCTCGCGGGACATCATTTTTGCTTCGAAGGAAGCGCTCGAGCTCAAGTGAATGGCGCAAGCTCGTTGAGTATCTTCATCTACTTTCTAAATGCCAATATTTGTCAAGTCATTGCGGATAACACAAACCTGTACGCATGTCAAAAGTTATATCTTGTGACCATGCGTCAGGTGACACGATGTCACATGGCATCATGTCATGCAACGTCATGATGTCACACTGATGACGTCCAGTGAGAGTGACATCATCATTCTGTTCACACGATGATGTCACAATGAACCTTTCAAAATGCCGGTACCATAATGAGAACTCCGTAGCGTGACGAGCGTGACAACAACATTGTGGCTACATGCCATGGACACGAAAATGCTCAAAGCTGCTATGCATTTTATAACAAAGGGTGCAGGAAAGTTGAAATGTAGCTAAAGAGTGAACCAGCGGTTCGTGCTACCCACAAGGAAAGTGCCTGACCCCTTTTGGCGCATGCAGCCAAAGAAGAAGGGAGACGCCTCACCCTCGTCCTGGCCAACATGCAGGTCCAGGAACAGGGCCGGCGGGTAGAGTAGCAGCACGCGCGTGAGGCAGCCCATAGCCAGCACCTTCACGCTCACGCGCACCTGGCAGTCGGGCATCACCACGCCACTCATGCCCGTCAGGAGAAAGGACGACGCCAGCAGGCGCGCACAGTACTTGAGTGCCACGTCTTCGTCCAGGTATAACCCAGGGTTGCCAAACTGTCGGAAGAATTGGCTGTTAAGCAGATCAAACGGCAACTCTTATAGAAATGAGACGTGCGCACTATATTAAGGATAAGGTTTATTCCGCAATACAAGTCAGTGACCCGGTAGTACACTCCCAGGTTTCAAAGACATAAAATGTAACTGAATTGCACATCGACACAAAGCAATAATATAAAATTACTAAAGCATGTGCTATCATGTTAAAGAGGCAATATGCATTACACAAAAACTCTGACATTTGCCAACATATAAATAACATGCAATGCAATGAAGTACTAGTGTTTACAAACAGTTGGCATCATCCAAGAGCGATAACATCCAACAAAATTTAATTGGCATACTCAACGTAACTAGCATGCAGCGCGAGTCTTTTTGTTCAGCTTGGCTCAGTTGAGAGGCACAACTCGTTTTACCCTTTCCTTCCTTTGTTTTCAAGATTATGGGTTCTCAAACTCAGTACCAGGGGACCCGGGGATTCCCCAGACTATCTTTGAGGGTTCCCCAAGCTCCCAAATTTCCTCGACCTTCCCTGCCCTGAAGAACCTTTCCTGCCCCGAAGTGTTTCCACAGATAAAGCTCCATCTTAAAGGACACATGCAAAGGAAGAAAACTTTTTTTTTTTTAACAGCCTAGATGGAAAAAGAATGTTATGAAACAAATTTACAACAAAGAAAAAAATTGTTTAGAGCTCTACTTAGGGTGCAAAACGAATATGTAGTTGGCGCCCACGGGAGCTGTTGTGGGTCACGTGATAGACCTGTGCGCCATCATGCGGCGCCGCTGCTGCGCGACGGCGGCAGCGGCGCCGTTGCACCGCGGGTTCAACGCGTTTCTCCACACCGCCACCACTGCCGCCGCGCAAGTTCATCGACTCCGGGGTGCCGCCGCCGCCGCCTTCTGACCGGCGCACAAGTCAATCACGTCTGCTGGCACTTCTTCAGGAGCTTCCTTTAGGTTCTAAAAGTTACTTATTAATCTCTGTTTTTTGTTGCACTTCAAACGAAGATAAATAAGTAACTTTAATTCAGAGATCATAGGAAGCTTCCGAAAAAGCGCAAGCACCACGTGACAAATAGCGGCCAGTCACATGATAAAATAGCAGCCACTTTTCCGCGCCTCCCGCGGGCGTCAATTACAAATTTGTATAGCGCCATAAAATATAGCTCTACAAACTTTTCTTTTTCGCTGTAAATTCGTTTTATGACTTCCTTTTCCCAACCCGGCTGTTTAAAAAAATGTTTTTTTCCTTTGCATGTGTCCTTTAACTGGTCTAAGCTATGAGCCAAACGCTTCCTAGTATATGCAGCATTGTTTACTTTACAATAGTACTGCCAGCCCTGTTAAGGCTAAATCAGGAGTGGAAGATTACAAGGTGTGGGCATGTTCCATTACCTCCCGGTGTGGGCATTTCACCAATGCGCACACCAGGAGGAGTTCCTCAGCTTAGTCTAGCCGGATAAGGGTTTCTCGAAATGAAGAAGTGGGAGAAGCCTTGTTCATGATGAGAGGTTACAAAGGCCTTCTGGTAGATTGTTAAAAGTGGCAGGAACATAATACTGTCTCTGTCTTTTCCCATCGTTTAAATATATTTTTTCAATGATGCGGGCGTTTCTGAGTATCAAATGTTCTGATTCTGTTGGCTATTTTTCTGAAATCACTGGAGTACTAATTATTTGTTAAAACAGCAAATTTAACAACAGTTTTAAACAAAAATATTCCTAAACCACTCATTCCCTCACATTTTCTAAAAATTCATATTTTGAAACTATGTTTTTTACACATCTATGTATAACAGAATCAAGTTGGTGTTGTCTGTATTTAGGGCATGTTCCATTAAGAGTGATTCCATTGCACATGAGAGATTCTTCCACCAATTGGCACACTTTGTGCCGATTGGTGGAACGAAAATTAAATGGACAGATCATTCATGAAATTGAATGCTCATAGGCTACTTAGTATATACACCAAGTTACGTAATTTTTTGAGCTCTGGTAGCTGCAATAATCAATTTATAAATTTGGATCATTTTCATCTGGCGACCATGCAACACTGCCTAAGTTAGTCACACCCTGGTGTCCACAAACCATGTGATAATGAACGCTCTCTCATTCTAGGCGCCCCTATGATCGCCCAAGCTCTCCTCGCCACGGTACGGTCAAAACTGCTCACGCAACTCGGCAACCCGAACGCTATTCTCACACTCGCCCCCAGCCTGTTGACCTTCCACCATGCATGCATCTGCGAGATATTCCCGGACAAAGGTGACCACGGCGAGTTTGTCCGTAACTCACCGTCGCTGGAGCTGGTCGCCAGCGGGTCGCAGACAAAATGAACAGCTTCCGACATCTCTTGATAGTAATCACACTCATCGCTGCTGCGATCAATGTCAAACACTTTGACAAGGCGAGCGATGCCGTAGACGTAGTCGTCACAGACCGCATGCTCGAAACGCGGAAGGTAAACAAGGAAGATGAAGCTCGAGACGCCAAGGGAGTCAAGTCTGTGAGTGCGTGCAAGGGGACGCCGCGCGGGAGGCTAACTACGTCACCAGCCTCCCAGCCACGGCAGCCTTTTCGAATGGGGCGGATCCGAGGGACCCGCATATAAATCGATTTATCCACGAAACTATCGCGCCATTTTCAAAACAAATTTAGCAGGATACTAGGAACATACAATGGGTCCTAGCAGTATAGTTATCTCATATTTTATTTTTAGCGTGTCATTCTCCGTTACAGCCTCGTTGCAATACGAGCTGCAACGGGGTCTCAAAGCGTTTTTCTTCAGCAAACATCTCAGTCTTCCTGCCTGCTTTCCTCTTCGCCACGCGACAACGCAGTGCAGGCGCACTTGCAACCAATCGGCGCGGGAGGCGTCTGCCATTAAATTGCAAACGCTCCTCTATGCTTTTAGATGGACCCCCTCCACAATCTAGGCTCTCTAACCGCCAGCTACCTTATGTGCCGCCATCAGTTGGCTGTTGCGCCAATCAGGTGCCTTTCTATAGCCCCCGGTCACCGTGGGTAGAAATTTCACATTTTTCGTTTCTAACTTTTTACACAAGTTTGTTTAGTGAAATTTTTATATCCCTAGTGCACAATCTTTGGCCACCTCTCTAAAACATTTTAGCTCAATACGTTCACAAATCGATTTATGTGGTCCCTTCAAATAGCCACCTATCCCTCTGACTAGCCCTGGAGTACCCTGCATGAAACCAGACTTTTTTTTTTACCACAGTATGTACCTGCACGCGTGGGTCACATCCACAAAGTGCACGAGTTCAGATGCCAGGGTGTACCCTTAATGCTGGCTCACACACTTGCCACTGCTTACGACCAAGTGCCTTACAACCTTTTGTTATCTCTTACGATGAGAGAACACACAAGTGCCATCTATTGGGCAGCTGCAGAACACTCGCGATTTCCATATATTTCCTATTTGTTTTCCGCATCATTCCTTCTTTATTGGCTCGAAAAACTTTCAACAATGTTAGAAACGACCATTTCCCATAAATGCATCTTTGTTTCATTTTATTTTTCCCACTTCATTTCGACCCGAAGGTTACCGAAAAGACGGCAAGTGAGCAGGCAAGCTGGCGGTAGTTGATCATAGCACGTTAAATTTGAGTCGAAGAAAAAAACACGGGAGGGAAACGTCTCAATTTGGACGTTCCCCTCCCACGTCTTGTTCTCGAAAACGTATCGCTGGAATTACAGTCTAAATTGGTTATAACAGATCTCGATAAAGACCAAAATTTCAATCTGTTGTAAAAGGGGTACGCTGCATGCAGGTACGAAGTTGAACCAATAGTACAGATAGGAAAACTAACCGAACTTCAAGAAGCAATATGTTATATCCAAATGTCCGTTGTAACCAGGGATGTTGCAATGAGTTTATACTGTATTCCAACCTATCCCAATTCCATTTTGTCACGTGGGTCGGCCCGGTGCGTTGCGGGTGGGGGAACCTTGCTCACCACGAGGTCGATCCTGGGAGAGGAGCAAACCGAGGACCTGTCGCCCTCTTCATCTGGCCTCGGGTCCAGCCTTCTTGGGGAGCCCGGATGACGCAAGGGGCTGTCCAGGCCTGCAGTGGGGGCCAGACCAGATACGCGTCGGAGAACAACCCCAGTCACCCAGGTAACATTCTCAACCACTCTAGTCATAGAGTCACCTCCGCCGTAAACTTCCTACCTTCGACGACGCTTTGCCATCTCATACACCTTGAGTGCAGAGGTCAAAGCGAGGCGGAAGGCAAGCAGCCCGTGCTGGAGGCCAGGCGGACGAAAGACATGCACTGCTGTTCTCACCCTGTAGGTGACTAGTGTCCAAAACGTTAAAACTATGGTGACTGGAGCGTGTCTCAGACTGGTGTCCCATCCCGCCCATATGTCAAAAGTGGTCCCAAAGTGGTAACAAATGACGTGACAGAAGCCGGAGTGTCCTGCTGTCGGATGCAGGAATCCTGGCGGTTGGTCGCAGAAAGGCTGGCAAAAAGCAAAAGCGAACGCAAGTGTCGCCGCCGTCACAGTGCCCCAACTCCCGGGAGCAGAAGCTTCTGTGGACTGCCACACTGCAGAGCGGCCTGCAACAGAACAGGCGTCTGCCGCGCCCAGCACCGCAGCTGGGTCACCGCCGGGATCGCAGCTGGCAACAATGTGACCACTTCTACGACTTCATGAAGCAGAAATCAAGGGATTACTTTTTGGGACGCGGAAACACACCAGTCAGAGACGTGTTCCAAGCACCGTAGTTAAAACGGATGCGGCAAGACGATATCGCCTGAGCTTCGCGACACCGTGCTTAAAGCTTGCCAAGTTGTAATTGCACCTGCTCTGTACCGGCCAACAGAATGGCGGTGCCCACGAGACAATCGAGGAACGGAGAGCCTCTACTCTAAGTGTAGTTTATTTAGTGGCTCTAGTTCAATATAACCGTGCCGGGCAGAGTCCACGGCCAACGTGCAGAAAAATTACCTTTTCCAGACCGCAACCGACAAAAAAAAAATAAACGTGTTTCCTTAATTTGAAGTTGGCTGTACAGTCCCCTGCAACATGAAAGACCCACTGGGAGTGCGTGGTCAAGACAGCGCCTGGTGGGGGCACTACGTGCGCTCTGAGCGATTCTATTCTACGCCGAGAGAAGGCCTCACTCTCAGATTAGCTAAAGCGCAACGCGCACTTATCTGTTTCTGGGTTTCGTGTCGCGGCTAAGAGCAATTCGTGAGTGTCATGCTGCAGTTGCATTAAGCTTAAGTTGACATAGTATCTTTATCCAGTAAGCGTGCTTAGGTCCGGTTGAGCCCCAAATGAGTGTCCTCCCCTCGAAGCAAAATAGAATTGTCCGGAGAGCATGTAGCGACACCACCCGCCCTTGTCATGGCCAAGCGCTTCCAGTGGGTCTTTCATAATGCAGGTGACTGTATTTGGTAGCATCTAGCCACGTGTTCAAAGTAATGTTCCGTCGAGCTAATCTACCGAGCAAGCCAGCAGTTGAAATGGGCCCCAAATGCCGTCCAAGCTGCATGCCTCGGCAAGAGGGGGAGAAGGTAACCCTCTACTGGACCGAACACTCACCGAGTAGCTGGGCAGGGGTAGTGCTAGAAAAGTCAGAGTCCTCGCAGGAAGCCACGCTTGCCTCTGAGAAGGGCACATCCTCAGTCTCCGACGGGTGCTCGGACGACGCCCGACTCGCCATTGCACAGCGTCCTGCCAAAGAGGAACCGCCGAGGTTGAGGCTCATTGTTGCCTCGACAACCCCGATATGCCCTGAGACAAGAGTCCAGAGGAACCAAGGGGGTGCTAACTTTCCCAACCCGACCAAAACAAGGTTTTACGAAGATATTGTAGCCAGATCAAAAATGCAAATTTTTCCGAGGAATACGAAAGTTGGTTTTTTCGCGGTTCATTCGCAACTTGTCTTGCACACTGTCGAAATGGGAAAGTTGGTTTACGGTCACCAACAGACTTTTCAAACGTCTTCGAGGTATGGTTACTCGGCCTATAAAGGTAATGTAGAACCGAGAGAAATTTCGGATGCCACTAAACTTCCTGTTCCATTTTGGGGACTTAGGTTGCATCGTCTTCAAGCCAAGACCACTGCCATCAATCGAGTCACCACACTTCTGCCTTTGCCCGTAGCATCCCTACCACATTCCCACGTCCTTTGCAATGGAGATGCTGAACAGGGGCAGATATTACAGTTTCGTTATAGCCACCATGGCCACCTTTTGTTCCGACAACCACCCCGACACAGCTGCTGCTGCTTTCACATTCTTTGGATGTGAGGACTTTCTGTCGACAGACCTAGTAAGAAAGCGACCTTGGCCTGCCGAACATTGTTTTCAAGTGGTTTTAAATAGAGTCATCTTGCTCTATTTGGTGACAAAAATGGCAAAAAGAGCAAGATGACAGTGGTTGAACAAGCTACTGTTGAGGATTGGACTAGTAGGTACTTCATTCTTGAAAGCACTAAAGCTACCCCGCTACTGCTGAAGTCAGCTGGGTGGTGCGATTTCTAGGAGTGGGCTCTCTTCAGACGTTTTTGCATAAACAAAAATACAATGCCTAAAACCAGGCTGGGCCACCGTAAAACAATATCTCACGCAATCGCTTATAAACATATGGTTTCTGGCATTGAATAACAAATATTATTTTCATAACAAAACCTGAAAGTTTGTTGACAGTTTGGCATTCATTTTACTTTTTACCGGCATCTCGTAGTACACACTAGAGCAGGGGTTCTCAAACTTTTTGGTCTCACGAAACCCCAGGAAGCCTCAAATACTATTGCAGAACCCCCTTCTCCCCATATTTGCCAACCGAGAAGCAACAGATGCACAATTGTAGGCAATTTTGTTGTGTTGGGTTCCCATATATCCCCACCATATCAATCGCGATGTCAGTACAAAGTGAGATGGAGGCACTTTGCATGGTCCTGCCGCGCAGCCTGCGGCGGGGGGGGGGGGGGGGGGGGGGGGGGAAGGGGGGGGGGGGGGGAAGGGGGGGGGGGGGGGGGTTGCAATTTGGGTGTTCACGGAACCCATGAGACCAGCTCGTGGAACCCCCGTGTTCCCCGGAACCCAGTTTGAGAACCCCTGCACTAGAGAGTTGATATTAATTGCAGTACAATAAATAGTGGAGTAATAACCACAAAAAATAAAAGAAACTAGATTTCTCCCATCACATGTTGCTGCATCCTCGTTTGCTACACGACACTTCTGACCCTGAAAGTAGAATTACCGATACCATTTTGCTATCTAAATATGCATAGGTTAAGAATTCCGAAACATTGCCCACCTTCAATTGCCATCGGACATCCCGTGACGTCTAACGGGAATCACAACAGCGCGACCTCCAGTATTGGTACCCCAGTCAAGCAGGTTTATAGCAGGTTCTTGCAGGTTTATCGCACCACAAAACCGAAGTCTGCCAAGTCCGCGATCCACGCACACGATATCGGTTCCCATGACATAAAAGTTCATAGCGGGTTCTCGCGCGTTCCTTGCACCGTGAAATGTAAATCTGCTTTGTCCGCGATACGCAGGATAGTTTTCATGACATAGGAGTTTGCAGCAAGTTCTCGCATGCTTATTGCACCTCAGAATTTGAGTTTGCAGGATCCACAATGTGCGGAATTGGTTTCTGATACATGTGAATTTATTATTCCCAGTGTTACACACCATCCGCGATCTGCAGTATCAGTTCCCGTGTCATGAGGTCCACTCTATTATCGAATTTTGCTGTGGCATCCCCAAAGGTCGGCCACCCCGTATATTTCACCACTTATCTTTTTATCATCGGTGGCCATTTAAACGGTATTTTACGGTACGTAGGAAAGTGACCCAAATCTCATGGCACTTGCCATCACTCTTACCCAATGGTGGGTCTTCATTGTCGTCCATGAGCTCAACCTCCTCCTCTATGTTGAGAGACGAACCCATTCCTTTAGGAAAGACAACAGGGGAGGGATCAAAATTCACGCAGGCCCAAGACATTCCGACTGGTCCGAACCCTCTTGGGGCACACAACCGAAGGGCCATGCGAAACAATGGGTTACGTTAAGTTTTCAATTACTGCCAACAAATATTTTCTAGCAATAAAGTGGGTGAACAGCAGCAATGTGAAACAAAAAATTAACATAGAATCTCACCTTCACTAAGGTGGTAGGTCTGTTGAGAACTTGTGGAGGGAAATTAGCGAGAGAATAAAACTCTACAGACACCGCAACACCCCCGAGGAAGAACGGAAAAACGATCTTGATACCAGGCATTACAATTCCCGTGAAATTACTCAAATTGTTTGAATACATCTACAAAGGACAACAGTACCTCCGGCCAGGTTGCTGGTCCTCAAAGAGGGCCACAAGCTCAAATTTTCCCCAAAACGCAGTTCTACGGTGCACATATACCGATAATGAGAAAACCCGAAAATGTAATCGTTATAACAGATTCTCATTGTATCTGGACTAGAAACTGGCAGTTTCTAGTCTAGAAACTGATCGTTATAAGTGGTATATCGTTATATGTAGTATCATTATAAGTGGATTACACTGTATTTTTAAACTTGTCGCATGCGCAACTTTACCCCGAGGAGTTGAGAAAAACTAGATTTTCTCGTCGGCAGGGGCCTGCCCAAATCGGCAAGTTGGGCGGCAGTCGACAGAGGGGACAGCGTTCAGACGCTTCTGCCAAGATAAACGCATGAAAAAATGCCGTCTCCAAATTTAACCAAGAAAAAAAAAGACTTTGCAAAGCATTTACAGCTATTTGTACTGGGGGAGTTTAGAAACTTTCTGAACATGCCGACAGTCAAGCAAAATGGTATATTACCTCCGCTGTCTTGCATTACTGATTTCAGACCCACTCTGACTTAGCCATACCAAGACATATCATCACATTGAGTGTACCTCATTGATGTAAAAGTCCTTAGCCCAGTACATGCAATCTACTACTCAAACTTCCTTGTCAGCAATAATCTCTAAAATTTTATCATCTTTCATTCCTTTTCTATGTCCCAAACATTACTTTTCAATAACGCCACCACCGCCACAATTCAGTGTCGCCGAGGTGCTGCAAACCAAAGTACTCAATTGCCTGGCTCTTTTGCGTCTAACAAAGAATCCTTCGGTTTGAAAAGATATAAAAAAGGTTAAGTTTTATTGTTAGGGATGAGTTAAAGATCAATAAAAAATGACCAGTGCTTGGATACGGTGATTCACTGATGGAAGATGCTGGTGTATAAAAATGTGTTTTTATCAAATAACTTGAATTGATGAATTTGGATTGACTCACTTAGGGTGGACAGGCCAAAAACAAAACCCCCCCATCTTGTGTTATCGCAAAGTCTGCTTGCTCATGTGGGCCACAGGCTCCGCTCATTAGTTAAACTCTCCCAATATAAATGGCTTTAGAGTACCCAACCACACGAGTAACTTTATTTGCATCTAGTTCTCAACATACATGTCGAAGCTTTGAAACTATGTGACTACAGTAAAATGGCATCTTTGAGAAAAATTTGCAACTCGAAGGGTCAAGAAACTGATTTATCGGGGTCCCCACAGTGATGACAGTGAAGGCCTGTTCACACATATAGTGCAGCACTAAAACAGCGATAATTCGGCACTGGAAACAGTGCTGACCTTTGGGCTGAAGCACCGCTTGCTAATACAGCACTAATATAGCAGATGCAAGTGATTTCAGCAGTGCTGTCTAATGTTTTAAACTTGAGATGTTGCAGAAATGTGTCACAGTGCTTATGACTCCCGTGACTTAATCCCATTTGAGATGAATATGCTCAAAGCTGCGTGAAAAGGAACACATTGAAGCACTGGGCTTGCATCAACGTCCCATGTTTCTTGGGACAAAGTTATCTCGCTGCGACAGCAGACAGAATCAGACTCGGCACCAAGAGCGCCTCAATCGCCATACGATCTCAAGAGGACAGCGATTTCAGCGCTTATTACATGGCGGCCTCGTGCCCCTTTCACCCCAGTGGGACGAGGGTCACACCTGATGCTCCAGACGCCGGTCTGTGGCTGGGCGCATGGATGTACGACTGGCTGATTCCACTGGTGCTGAGTAGGGCCTGCACCAGCGGTGGGGGCGGCGTCGTCAGCAGCTGATGAAGCGCTTCCAGCGCTGCTGTCACTACCGACTGCTCTGTGTTTCCCACGTGGTGGAGCAGCAGTTCGTAGATCTGTACGCAGGCACACACACCGTTCCTTTCCAAAAAGCCGCGTTTCACATGCCGAAGCCACACACGAGCAAACGAGGAACCACTTTGTTAACAACCATCACCAACCACCCGGGTTGTCTCAGGACGCACTTCTAGAGATATTTAAGGTCGACTTAAGGGGGGACACTACCCAGAAAAAAAAATTCTGCAAAAAAAGTTGATTTTGAAAAATGACATATTTACATCCACCAACATCTAGAGCAGTGGTTCTCAACCATTGATGTTTCGCGGACCCCTCATGGATCGGCGGAGATGATGGAGGACCCCATTCGTGGTGAAAGGACGGGAAAGGTATAGGTTGATTATTTTAATGACTTATTAAATAGATATAACGAAGGGCTAGTGTGAAGTGGACTTCTCTTATTGACATATACACGAGAAAACTAACCCGAAAATTTGAACGTTTCTTCTCAATCGGAGAAAAGACAACTTTTATTTCCGGGCTTGTCTGATGAGGCTGGGCTTCGCGGAACCCTAGAGTGCCTTCGCGCACCCCGAAAGGGTCCGCGGACCCCCATTTGAAACCACTGATCCCAGAGAGTATTCCCACAAAGTTTAATTAGTTTCACTGCATAGTGAATTTTTTATAAATTATTTTCCGTCCACTGAAGCTAAAGAAAAGGTAGGGTCTGGAGCACTCTGAACGCATTTTACTCCGTTCTACTTTTTGGTATAAATTCCATTTTAGCCAATCTATCATTTGATAATGGCAATACAAGGAAGGCTCATTCTTCACTTTTCCCGACTGAAATTTATTAAAGAATGCGGCTATGGAATTTTTTTGCCACTTTACAGGTGTCTTTTATAAAAAATGTTGACATTTTGTCGAAGACACAGGAGACCAAAAGGTTAACCAGTTTTGCAGAAGAGAAAATTTATAGAAATAAATGAATTTTACAAAAACATTTTCATAGGCGCACTTCCTAGGCATTCTGTTACATATCTAGTGAATAAAAATCTTGAATATCGGAATAGTTTTCTGACGATAGATTAATTAAACAATGTAAGCGTGTTGCTGATAGAAGCTGCTCTACGTTCCTTCCCATTTAACCGTCAGACCTGAAATGTTGTTATGCACCTTCTAGCATAACCACCAGCCTACCCTGTAAATTTCATTATTTTAAGCCAAGGGTTCAAAAGTTTACTCTTCCAGGGGGTGTGTTCTCTTAAGACACATTTTCGCCATCATGGCGCATCACCCGCCACAGATTTTCGGGTGCACGTGCAGTCGCTTGTGTTGACCCAAACCACTTCGTTTAACTTGCTTAAGTCTGTAGTGTCGACATCGTCGTTACGTTTTGTTGAATTTGTTGCGTTGCATTCACTTATGCACGGCGAGGGTCAAATAGATCTAACCCACTTCAAACAAGCCTTTAAATTCAGTTTCGCAAGCTCGGACACCATACTTTAGCACAAAGGTGCGGCTGGGTGGTGCATTTGTTTTGCAAAAATATCGAAGAGCACGCTTATCTCGATCAAAAGTTAAATTTAAAAATCATAATTTTTTTTACAAACCAACATGGAGTTAAGCATTTGTTATGCCAATGCAAAAGAATGTTGTCGTAAATGTATGATTTAACAAAAACAATAAAGAGAGCAAAAAAAAAATCCCGACTTTGCCCACATTCCCTGTTTCGTTCAGTAAAACGCCTCAATGCCCTGCAGGAACGATTTTTCACTTCTAATCTAAAAAGGCTTGAGATTGTACCAAACCATAGAAATGCTGTTTTTATTCGTAGCTTTTGATCAAGGCAAGTTTCTAGTTCGATATCTGGACAAAACAAACTCACCACCGAGCCTACCTTTGTGGCAAATTTCAGCATCGAAGCTAGCGAAACAAAATTTTTGAGACTTACTTAATATGAGTCAGATTCATTTAGCCCACGCTTGACTTTGTATCTGTTCAGCGTCGAAGGTACCGGGATAAAATTAAATAAATATAGCGAAATACTTTACGAATTTCCAGCCACCCCAATCAAGGCAACTAGTCGGCAATCTTGCGACTGCAGGAAAGGCTTCCCCAAACACACCTTCAGAAAGTGCTCCAGGGTGGGGCCAGCCCTGTCTGCCGGTGCAGGCGCCTCCCGGGGGGGCCGGGTGCCCAGGTGGGGGATCAGGTGGCGCAGGCACACCAGCACTCCTACCACTGTGTGCGTTGGGTGCCCCTCCTGAACCGGTAGCACCAGGGCTGAAACCCACACGAGCCGTCTCAGAGACACAAAACATTGCCTAATGACCAGCAAAAGATGGTACAACCGCCAAAGGGGTACATGATCGCCTCAATTTTAAACATAAACATAATGTAAGCCTAGACTCCACTAAGTGAACATGCTGCAGAAAAGTGATTAATTTCGCCGAGTGGCGTTTGCTCGGCATGTAGCGTCGGATCAGTGGCTGTCATACCCTGCTGAAAGCGAACATGCTGCTGGGCGAAGTTTGTCAGTTGTTGGCTGCATAAAACGATGATGGCACAGGCCATCACTGTTATATTTGATAGTGCCGTCGCATTTTATATAGTCCAAATTCTGGCAGCTGTGGTAAATTTACATTTATCACAAATGATTAAAGACCCTGTTACTACAAGTTATTTTAATTTCATTACATTAAGACCTTGTTAGTACAACAATTTACAGCGAACTCAAAAAAAAAAATAGTGTTTGAGTAAACATAACAAATAAAACTGTTTGGGCCAATGGATGTGATGGGAAAAGGCGGCTACACACTTTATTTCGTGTATACGTCAGTGGTCTCGGATCACCCAGAATCAAGCACAAAATTAACCCAAGACAAGTTTCCTTGCTGGAAGTCGCAACCCCTTTCGATGTCTGGACAGCCACTTGATGCCAATCTTTGCCAAGATCCTTTCCGAGTCTCAATCAGAGAGAGCCTGAAGTCCCCGACCATATCCACACCCATCTGTCTCTGTCAGCAGTATGACAAGTGCGTTTTGACTGAGCTGTAACTTCCCTACCGTCAGCCTCCCATTAGTGAAACCAATGGAATCTCACATAAATGACCACCATGTTGGACAGCGGAGCATTATACACGATGGCTTGCATACTGTTTCGCACGATCGATTTTTTGGGCTCAACCATTACAACAATGGTGCTTGTACAACAATATTTTTTTGCCAGTCCTGCAGAATTCATTGTAAAGGCATTTTTATTTTACTCCAACAGGGTTCTAGTAGTGTACTATTTATTACAGATGCCAGAATCTCGGATATGTGGCGTACAACGGAAGTATCAGCATAGAAATTGCAGCAACACAGAAGTTTGTGAGCTTCTCCCTCTTTTTCTTTTTTGCCTGAGCAGCTTAGGTTTTCACTAAAACTTCCCCGAAAGAGTTTGGATGCCGACCATTTTTGATAGGACTAAAAATAAAGCGAAGTTTGAAACTGTGTTATTTGATTAGTATTAAAAATGTGCCAGTTCTCTCAAGGTGAAATCATTTTGTGGGCGGTTTAACCAGAGCAGCACTTAAATTATGATTAGAATTGGCTGCTTTAAGGTTTCTTTTTCCAAATGAACACTCCAGAGTCAGCACCAAAGGGATAGCGGTATTGTAAATAAATACCCATTCATACACAAAAGTTTTATCCTCAATTCTGGTTTCACCAAGGCAAACACTTGGCCAACGAGTAGGACCCCATTTGTAGCAACAAAAAACAAAATCCCCACCAACAAAATGAGGACCATGGGTCATGCATCAAAAAAGCATGTTGCCAGGAAAAACTTGGAGACTTTTCCAGAAAGGTGACAAGCCACGAGACAAGCGGTCACCGGGCTACACAAGTGGGTGGCTTGACCGCAAAACCCGTTCCCCGACCGATGAGCCCTCTCTGGTGCACGACGGGCAACTTTCACCCCAGCAAGGCGTGGCAAATTTATCAAAATGGTACAACTGGCACCGCTGGGCCACTGCTGCAGATCACCCAATCCCCAACTGGGCACGCCTGACCCAGAGACCCACCCGACCCCTCAGCGTCCATGGGTAATAAATTTAATTACTTTTTTTTGCAATTTGTAATTGTAATTCATTACTTTCGAGTAAGACTGATTGTAGTTGTAACTTAACTACCTTCTAACCTCAAGTTTGTCAGGCTGGATCTTCTTCTAAAGAGTCACTGCATCATTACCCATTGCCAAAGGTGACCATGGATGCACAGCTGAGCAACTGGTGAAGCCAGAGCATGCACAGAGGGGCACAGAAGGTGTGCTCATGAAGTGAGTGCTTTTCATTGTCAGGACAGAAAGGCTGATGCGATTGTGATTTGTATATTGAATATGTTATGACGACTCATGCCGGTCATTTTCAGAGCAATTGAGTTTGAGCACCTATTAGATTGCTTTGGCACCTATAAAAGCTGATAGATCTCTCTTATTTTGAAGCGCCGCCATAAGAAGAATGTAAACAATCCCGGAGCCGACGCAAAATGATGAGACAACTTATGGTCAAAACTCGGTTACCCCAACATACTGCTAACGAAGCGGGAGAAAGAAAATAAAATGTGATGTCTTTGTAAAATTAGCGCAAAGACAAGGGAGGAAGAACATAGAGACAGGATAGAGCAGTACTTACAACTGGTGTTTAATACCAGGTGAGAGAAAGACAGAGAAGTACTGACAGTTAAAAGCGAAGGAGACGCAAATAAAAAGCATGAGAAATTGTCAGTGAGTGAATAGGAGAGACAGAAAGAGCAATAAAAAAGAAAGAGACAAAAAAAAGGGGTAAGGTCTTATCCTGATGGCTGGCCACGCTGTCCAAAACGACAGTGACCTCCAAGACACGGGGAAAACCGTGGTTCATGTTCTGAATCGCTAATACTTTCCCAGTGACCATATCACAATTCTTTACATTCTGTCGCCTGGGCCGCACCCAGCATGCCGCCGGACTTGGACCTCATGGACACAGATCAAGGTATTGCCGTTCTTTCTCCGATAGGAACACTGACTGACCACTGATGAATACACCTCCTTTTTTTTATAATCATGTGCACCTCGTAGTTGTAGCGCTTCTCTCCCACCCCTTCTTTCACTGACGATTTCTCATGTTTTTTTTATTTGTGTGTTTGTGTGTGTGTTATTTGTGTGCTTTTTAACTGTCAGTACTTCTTCTGTCTTTCTCTCACTTAGTAGTAAACGCCAGTTGTAAGTAGCGCTCTATCCTGTCTCTATGTTTTTCTTCCTCAGTCTTTGCACTAATTTTACAAAGATGTATAGCCAACTAACCCACCAGATGATTTTAATAAAATGTGATGACTGTAAAGTGCTGTATACTGATAAATCCTCAACAGACAGACAAAGAATGGGCAGATAGATTTCAGTGCAAAAAAAATGTTATGATATTAACATCATTGATGTGAAGTGTAGATCTCCAAGGAAAGTAACTGTAAAGTATTACCTCCTGAAAGTAATGCATACTTAGAATTAATTCCTTTTTGTGCAGTTGTCATTGCACTTGAGAAGCAACTGAGCCAAGTAGACAGCGGTCCACCCCGCTGCCCTGGGAGCACCAAGGGAGCTGGGCCAGGACGTACCAAACAGGTCGGTGAGCAGCCAGAGAAAGAAGACGTTGGGCTTGCGTGAATACTGACAGACGGTCACCAGGGACAGAGCCGCCGAGCGACGCACCAGCGCCGACGGGCACGACAGGTTGGCCAGAAACGTTCGCAGCAGCATCTGGGCCCCCAGGAAACAGTATGCTTGACAACAAACACCTTGGCCCCAAACAAACAAACACCACACCCAAAGAAACATTCATCTTCTCTCCCACTTATCTCAACTTCAAGTTTGAGAGTGTACAACGGACACGGGGGGGGGGGGGGGGGCTGGAAGCAGGGAAGAATATCCTAAGCTTTCAAGTGCACTCAGTGCAACGAATCTGGGAAGAGGGCATTTCTGGGCACAACATGACACAACACTGCAGCAAACACCAATGTGCCCTCACCCTAGCACCGTCACGATGCCTGCAATATATCTTTGTCTGGCGCAATTAACGCGCCCTCATTTGTGGCTTCTCGGTTTTCGCCCGACAACATTGCACTCGTGTCAAGGTAAACACACAAACACCCATTCTGCTGCATGTCACTCTCCCGTTTGACAGTCGCCAGAAGTTTTGACAGTAGAGAAGTTGGGCAACCGGCAGCGACACCCGCACAATCCTTTCTGTCTTGTTTAGCCGGTTTGCCGGTATGGCAGCGTAGCTAGCAAGTTGGACCAATGCTGCGTGTCAAGCACCTTGATGTCCTTGTCGTTGGTGAACTGTCCCAGCACGGGCATCGCCCGCACCAGCGTGTTGGCCAAGGCCTCCTGGACAGCCTCCTCCTCTGACCGCTGGCTGATGTGCACCAAGCAGGGCAGCAGGTTCACCGTGTAGGGCCTGGGCAAGCCCCCCCAAAGCTTCTTCACTCGCCCTAATGTCTACAGATTTTGAGTTGAGCCGGGTAAAAGAATAAAAAATAAAGTACCTCCATCTGCTTCCGCGTTAGCATTGCAGACTTTTCAATCCCACTGCATCTGTGCACGGTAGCCACTGCATCATCTCCCCGCTATTGGGTGCATTGCCATACCCTACGACGTACAGTCGGGTGCAAAAGTTTGCGGGGCATGGGAGCGCCAGCCGAAAAGACTGGCTGTGCCTTCTCATGGCACGTTGCCGCTCTCAAGACTCACGCTTTGCGCATGCGCTTCCTTCCTTGTTTGCGGTCATGCTTTTTTCGCTCGCTTCCGTTTGACACCCACGAGATAACAGGGACTAGCGCAAGGTGCCGCAAAATGTTATCTGTAGCATATGTGCGAGCTCCGTCGCCCATCATGGTGGCTGGGGCAGACGCGCAGCACGATAGCTGTCATAGCGGCACCTTGCGCCGGTTCCGGTCATCTCGTGCACGTCGGGCGGAAGCGAGCAAAAAAGACACGACTTCGAGCACGAAAGGGAGCACATTCTCGAAGCGTGAATCTGGAGAGCAGCCGCGCGCCATCAGAAGGCGCAACTAATTGTTTCGGCTGACGCTCCTGCGCCCTGCAAACTTTTGCCGACGACTGAACACCTCAGTTGTTCCAACCTTTTGTAAAACATTTGGTGGCAGTTCCTAGCTTCAGAGACTAAATTCCCCTGCTTAAAACATGTTTTTTTTAGTTGGGGCACCTGACTCGTCCGACGTCCCTTGGAACTTCCAGTCACTAGTCTTGACATTTAGAATCCTATAGCCCTCTTTTTTTTCCTGATTCTTGCACAAACTTCACTGGACCCATTTCACTTGGAGCACAATTCTACATTTATGCACGAATCAACCCAAAGCATGTTCCAATGTTTGCCACCGTGCTATCTCATTGACAATTTTGCCAACAGAAAGCAAAGATGAATCCCACGACTCTAACTTACCATGTAACTTATTAAAACATTGGTTTGGGCTAGTTGGTCCATGGTAGGTATAAGGTTTAAAAGAGAGAACAGACAGGGACAATAGGATATAACACAAACGACAGGGACAGGCACTACTCTCAACTGATTCATTGCAAGACCGTTTAACGCTTATATACGCAACTCATCTTCCCTTTACATATCAAACAATGCCAACAACCAATAAAACACTTTACAGACACCCATCTAGATAAATCACTTCTTTATCTAGTAGGCTAACAGATGGCACGCTGATGCACTTGTCATTCTTTTTTTTAATAAAGAAAGCCTCTATAATCTCCCGTTCTATTTTTTCTTTCACTTTTTTCAAGAACATCATTGACTGTAAAAGCGGTTTGCAGCCACCAACGCTTACAATACTCAGAAAGAAAATACAGAGTGGGAGATTATAGAGGCTTTCTTTATTAAAAAGAAGAATGACAAGTGCATCAGCGCGCCATCTGTTAGCCTACTAGATAAAGAAGTGACTTATCTAGATGGGTGTCTGTAAAGTGTCTTATTGGTTGTTGGGGTTGTTTGATATGGGGCAGACAAGTTCTGCATGAACAGTCTTGCAATAAATCAGCTGAGAGTACCATCTGTCCCTGTTGTTAGTATTATTTCACCTCCCCGTCCATTTGCGCTTTGAAACCTTATACCCACTACCGTATTTACTTGCACAATGAACACACTCACGTAATGAACGCACCCCCCAAGTCGGCTCTCAAAATTTGGACTTTTTTTTTCACTCGCGTATTAAATGCAAACACACCCCACTCAGACGCCACGCGTGCGAAATGAATGCACTTTTCTATCTTGGTGCAGCGAGGTTGCGAATGCATGGGCGAACAAAATTGCAAAAGGCATTAAAAAAATTTAAAAAATCCAACGGAAGCAAGAAAAAAAAAACATAAAGAGGAGCGCTTTTTTTTTTTTTTTTTTTTTTTGCACAGCGCAGTCTGGATTTCTTTGGGTTGCGCGCCATAAGAAAGCGAAGCGGAGAACCCCTCGCCTAAGCAAAGCGTACATAATGAAGGCATCCTGCCCTCGCCTTCTCCTCGCACTTTGGAAAGAGAAGCGGGAAGCCCTCGGAATGAACACACTTTTCTATGCATGGCTTGTACGTGACGTCACCAAAGAGTGCTCCGATAGCCACCAGAGAAGAGGGAAAGGAGGAGCTCCCCTCTTACCAAGATCCTCTTTTGTGTCTCCGCGATTTTCACAGACGTCGCCATTCTCCTCCCAGAAGATTAACCCGTTACTCAAAATTCTTACAAAGGCAGCTTCCCTCTCCCCCTCTTATATGGTGGTCAAAAGTATGCGATGTGACGGCGGTGCAAGCCATGTATCCTGGTGCAGCGAGGTAGCGAATGCATGGGCGTGGGCAAACAAAACAGCTTGCGAAAGGCGGCAAAAAAAAAAATCCATAGAACTAAAAGAAAAAAACAAAAAAAAAAGCTTTTTTTTTTTCTTTTTAAAGAAAAGCGGAGAAGTCCTCACCTATGCAAAGCGCACAAAAAAAACAAAAAAGACTAAAAGAAACTTTTTTTTTTTTTTTTTCCATCGCAGTTTGGTTGTGGATTTGCGCCGCACCGTGCGCAAAGAAATAAGTAGTTATGCCGACTTTTGGGGATAAAAGGTCCATTTATTCTGCGAGTAAATACGGTAACTTAAGCTACAAATACCAAAAGCGCCAAGGAACGAGATAAGGAAAACTAGCAGTGCGCTCTCCTATCTTGACCTGACCCCTGGCACATTTAGGTAGTATTTCTGTGATGTAGCAATGAGCCGATCCTTCCATTCTAATGCATTCAACTTAAGTTAATTAGGATTGATAATTGCCAACTATAGAACATATTTAGACCTCAAAAAAAAATCTTAACATGATTTGAAAACTTCTAGAAATCCTGCCACCCCCAAAACAGCAATCAACCACCACATTTAGCAAAAAAAAAAAACATTCAATTGGCAACACAGCCGTAGGGGGGCACCCAATGCTGACACACTGCAGCTGCCACAACAGGGGCACATAGAGAGTCTGGAGCAGTGTCATCCCCAGATTCCCCCTGTGCCTGACGACCATTTGAGTTTGAGCCCACCTCGAGCAGTGGATCTCAAACCGCAGTCTGCGGAATCACAGGGGTTTGCACTGACTCGGAGATCACTCCACCGAGGAAGCGCGAAGCACCGAAGAGGGTTGAAATCGTCAGACCAAATATCTTGACAGCTAGACTAGAGCCCTCACGAGTCACAGCATACTCTCGCTGGTTCCTACAGTGTGGGCCCAAGAGATCAAGTTCACTTGAAACAGGCTGCAAAAATCAGTTTCTCAATGCATCATGCTGTGATTTAGTGAAGAGGTGTGGCTAGGTGGTGGATTTTTTGTGCGAAGTATAAAATGAATTTGCCTCGTTCAAAAAAAGAAAAAGAACCTGTTTCGGGAAATCTGAGGTGGCATTTTGCAGAGTGATTGTGATTGATTGGGTTTTAGTGGTGCAAAAGCATCTGAGGCTTATGTAAAATATTGCTAAAAAGGGTTAGGAAGAAGAAACCACTTGGGTAGCAGGTGATAGGATATAACTATGAATATGAGCTGTGTATAAGTGTAAAAGGTATGAACAGGAGTTCATCATTACTAGGTGTAAAGAGGCATCTCATTGTACTGCTGTGAAAAGTAGTTACGGCGTTGTGGGACATATGCATTGGACTCAAGTAAAATATAAAGTATATGGGGCCTAGCACCCAACAAATAATAATATTGTTGCCAGAGATTATCTTGTTTTGCAGGTGAGCAACGATGGGGCTTGTGGCTATATTCTATGAAACAAGAGCTTTTAACACAACAACTTTTTTTTAGATTGACAACAACCACTTTTTAGTGGTACGACGACATCCACCTCAGTCTCCAGCAATATCCTGGAGAAATCATTCCTTTAGTCAAAAGTGTCTCCTTTCCAAAAATGATTCTGTCTATTGTTGGCACGCCCAGTATAATTAGGGTGACCAGACATCCCGTTTCGGGCAGGACCACTGATCTCTATGACAATTGCTGGATCGCGCTTCCCCGCTTCGAGCCCATTGCGCGATTGAGGCCACCGGTCGGCCATCTTACGAGTGCTGCTGAAGCGTTGTCAAGGCGGCGATCATGTGACCTTTGCCTCCGTTTTCACGTGACCTACACACGGTAACCATGGTAACTGTCTAGGCTTGACAGCGCTAGAGCATATCTCGTAAGATGGCCGACGGTAGCCTCATTTTCGGTGCGGGGAAGCGCGATCCAGCAATTGTCATAGAGATCAGTGGGCAGGACAGTTCCATTTTAGAGGTTTATTTATATTGTCCCGTCATTTTGCCTCGAAAAAGTCTCATGTCCCGTTTTCGTGAAAATGTGCAGTTAAAAAGTCAGTGCTAAGTGAATGGAAGAAAACCAAAAAGAATGTTTATTCCCTAGAGATGAAATATTGTAAAAATAAACCTACTATGAAAATGTTACCCCTCATACAGCACAATTTTTAGCTCTTTCCCTCATTCATCTGCCAAAAAATCTGCCAGACTTTTCTCGTATTGTAGTACAGGGTGTCACAAAAAAAAAAAATTTACAGGGGTTTTTGTACCGCAAAAATAAACTAGGCACCGCCAAACGCTCATTCTCCGCCCAAAAGTAGCGCAAGTTATAAGTGATTTTCTGAAGATTTAAATAGGAAAATGGCGGCCGACGGAGTTTTCGAATACATGGGGCTCTATGGCACCAGAAACCGAAAACGGGCAGAAATGGGCTCCATTTTCCCATTGAAATTTTCAGAAAATCACTTATAACTTTTGAATAGGGTATCGGATCGGGCTGAGACTTTGGCATTTGGTTGTGACCTCTAGCGCTACCTTTGGGCGGAGAATGAGCATTCGGCGATGCCTAGTTTATTTTTGCGCTGAAAAAAACCCTGTAAATTTTTTTCTTGTGACACCCTGTACTACTGAATTTGACATGTTAGTTTGGCCACAAAGAAACAGTGACGAAAGTCACTTGTCCGGTTCAGGAACAATACGAGTTTCTACGCTGAAATGACTAATAGCACAATTTAATTTTAGCCCAAGATTGTGGTCACCCTGCGTTTAATGGAAAGGAACGTTGGTAGTGATGCCCTTGCCTGCATTTCTGAGCCTTGATCAAGTGGCACAAATCCCCAAATTTGCCAAGGGCCACCCTTAGGCTGCGACTCTGGCCATTCTTCTTGATCTCCTTGTACAGCTCTGCCTGCAAGCGTCCCAGGTGCGAATCCAGGAGGGTCTGAAATGGGCACAATGCAACAAGGGTCCTAGTTTCTCAAAGCTGTGGCGCTATCAACCTCGTGACACCAGGCAATCATACGAAGAGTGTCAAACATTTCAAGAAATGTAGTGAAACAATCTCTAGAAAAAAGTGGTGACAGCTAGATTTCCATCTACCGATTGACCCGTTGTACGCACAATTGCAATGCTTAAGAAATGGTGGGTTTTCATAATTTATTTTTATTGGCACTCCGGTTTATCATGTAACGTGGTCACATTAAGCCAGTGTCATGTCACACGACATCATGCGGCAGTGCCACACAACGCTGTGACATCACATAACTCGATGTGACATTACATTACACTACGACTTGACACCCAACGTTACTAGATCAAACACTTTGTCGACGCCCTGGCGTCGTACGGCACCGACTTCCCACCGCGAGTCGCGGAACACGGTGAAGTCATGCGATTCGAAGTCGTGCCATGGACAAACACAAAATCCGAGTTAGCTTCCATTAGAATGTGCATTAAAACGAGAATTCGAAATACATGGTACCACTCCAGAGTTACATGGTGCAATGTCTTTGGTGCATTCCAAAAACAGCTGGGGCACATAAAAGCAAGGAGCTATCATTCAAGTGCACTACCAAGGAGCGCATAGTTTTGAAGGAACTGAACTAGAAAAGATGACTTCCAGCCCAAGGTTAAAACTTGTGCGAATATGCGCGATCACGTATAGAGTCCGAGACTGTCTCCAAGAAGCTTCCCAAGCGTCGGAACATAAGTAGATGAGCCGTGGGACACCCACCTTTATTGTACGGTTCAGACATTCGTCAGCCACCATGCGCACATCACTGTCCTCATCGTCGCAGCAGAAAAAGAAGCTCTCCACCGAGATCCCCAGCAGCTTGGGGAACTCCGAGTAAGTCCTACAAAGTAGATGACACCCCATGTTTGCCAAGATCGCAAAAGCAAACACTGTGCAAGAAATGTCGGATAAGATGGGCCTTCAAATGCAGGTACGCAAGGCCTCTTGCAATGAGGATGACGATTATCCCAGTTTCCGGTCTGCAGACTACAGACGTTTAAGACTCAACATTCTACGCTGCGCGGACTATCCAATAGTGCAAACAACATAACAATCTTTTTTCTTTTTTTTTTTCAAATCACTCGATATTGAAGCGGTTGTCACACTGCGCTCATAGACCTGTTGCAAAACGTACAGCACCATTCGTGGTGCCAAGAAGAATGTTGGGAGTGGCGTGTACAGAACCAGTTGTAACAGACAACAGAAGCAATGGAGGAAATGCAGGTGAGCAATGCAAACTGTGCTACCCTCTCTCTCTCTCTCTCTTCAGTACCATGGGGCAGTTGCTGCAGGGGCAGAGTGCAAAGGACTTCACGTGCTGCCTTAAGAGATTTCTGCCGGAAAAGCTGAAACTTAGTGCATCGCTTTTGCTTCCCTGTGCCCCCGCTTCGGCGCAGCAAGGTAGCTGCACCAAAGTGGACCATGTTGATCAAGCATGATAGCAAAAGCCCCACAGCTTGCGGTTACAAAATCATTACTGCAGGTAAATAGGGAACTGTAGTCTTTCAGCAACCCCGGCTGCATTCAAAATGAAGAGAATTCACTTACTTCCATTTCTTTTAAAACAATTTGAATTATAAAAATAATAAAAACTACATGAATAAGAGTGTACATTTATATTGTTTTATTAGTCAGCACGGAGTGCTATTTGTGGGGGAACTAACGATGCATCATTTTTAACAAGAGTAACACAGAGATGAACTAAATACAGAGTGCAGACTGGACCAGGTGTTGACTATCCAAGCAAAACAGTTTCCTTTCGTCCAATATGTGCTCTTGTAGACTAGATACAAGGTGCAGACTATTGTCCAAAAAATAAGGTAAAAGGTGTGAAAAAACAAAACAAAAAATCAGAGTAAGACAAGATAATACAATGGAAGAAAAAATATGGGGCATTTTTGACCAACATGAGAACATTAAAAAGGGTTGCCCACAGCTGACAGGGATATGAAAGATGAAACAGCCAATGACATACCGTATGCTACTGGTGCAAATTACATCTGCAATGTTGCTACAGTGAATGATCTTCTCTTTCTTAGTCAGGACAGTTTCTTTTTTCCTGAAAAGAAGTTGAGACTGTTTTAACATGCGCACTGGGTACCATAAAGCTCCTCCGAAAGAGAAACAAATATTGGCTGGGGGTCAACAGTTGGTGGGTGTGCAGTTTGCCTTTGCAGGCATACATAAGAACATTTACGCTGTCATGCACATTTTCATGACCCAACACAGGAGCAAGCTCTACCCCCAAAACCTTTTAACCAGAGAATGACACATTGTTTTGGTGCAACCGATACTGTGAGCAAATTTCACTCCGCTCTTTCTGCTACGGGAATGTGCACAGTCCAAGGCAGTTGACATCAAGCGCCAGTCACAAGCCGGACCTGAAGCTCGGCAACGCGAGTCTCAAAATCAAGTGAAGGCAACTGGTCCATTGAAAGGTAGCAGTCGCTGGCAACATTCAACAGACAGCCGGGCACTGATCGAATCTGCAACAAACACGACACCCTGGGGGCTTGAAAACAGCCCGCTTCGCCAAGAAGCCAATCGCCCGAACATTCGGCGCCTCGTTCTTTTAAACAATTGCCCAACAGTGTCCGAGAACGAGCCACTGAAGAAAGCCTGCTACAACCTCGCTGCCTGGGAGTGACAAAAAGCGTGCAGTCAACAGAGTGCCAAATCTTCCCTAGGTATTCGGGCGCGCGTTTCCAGCTCCCCGACACGTCTCAAACACCGCCGAAACAATCGAGTCCACCCAGAAGAGATGTCCATTTCCAGACGTCTCAGGCACTTTCAGGGTCTCCCAAACTCTGATAATTCCAAAGATAGGCAAATGCGGTGATGCGTTATTACAAAATTGGCTTAATTAAAACGTCTTACTTAAGTAGCGGTTCTTCGCCTCCTGCAGACGATTGAACGAGCTTTAAAGCTTCGAAAGACTTTACTAATTTTTCTATAGAAGCCATCGCTTCTAATAGTATTATATCAATAAGACCTTCTCCGCCTTAAAATCGGTGGCATACCCGTCTAACTAAATAACTGCAAAATAAATAAATCGAGAAAGCAACAACTTGCTCCTCCTACTCCCCGTAACTCGCCGCCATCTTTTTCTTTCCGTGCTTTCCCCTGCCGGATAATGAAGACACTATTGACACACAGAAAACCTGCAGCAAACTACCTGCAAGCGTGTGACCGAAATTCTATCGGTCCCTTTAGGGATAGTGTACGACAGTGAACTGTAATATACACTAAGATTTAAAAATACAACGTAACTTATAGGGTGTTTTTATTTATGGCCTTCAAAAACGACTTCCGGTTACTACGCTTATTTGAAGCACGGGGTAAACCGAAACCAGAACCGAAAACCGATGAAGAGTGGAATTTTTCAGGTAATTGTAAACGAAACGAAACCTGTCGGTGAATTGAAGCCGAAGCAGGAACAAAGCCACCGGTCACATAAACAGATATGCAAGGGGCAAGGGGGGCTCCTCACCTGTGCGTTGCCATTTTGAGCAATGCTGCCGCCGCTGAACGGCCTAACGTTTCAGCCATGTTGGGGTGTGCTAAAGGCGCGTCAGTGTGTGAATGGTGCAAATGTAGACCAACCCCGAAAGGCAGTAGCCATGACAAGTTATGTGACGTGTAGGTGGACCACAGTGGCCACAGCGAATGAGCTACTAATTCCTAATTTACCAATTCAAAAATTACTCAGAAGTAATGAATCAATTATACCAAATGTTAATTTTCATGAATAGGGCAGAACGCAATTTCGTCTGTTTCTTGCACAGGGCTTCCGATGATGTCAGAAAGTCCAGCCACTATTGACGGATCTACAAAAAATAGTGGGCAGACCAAGGCATCTATAGTCCGTTGCAGCTCAAGAAGGTAGGGCGAGACGGATCGGGGAGGAGGAAGCACACAGAACGCTAAAGAGGAGGAGGTTTCCCCCTCTCTTCTCCAGCGTTCCGTCTGCTTCCTCCTTTCCGGCCAGTCTTACCCTTGCCCTACCATCTTGAGTTGCAACGGACTATAGCAATTCAGCATTGAGGTCTACCCACTATGCTTTCAATCAAAGCCAGTCAGAGCTTAGCGTCGTTCTGACGTCACCAAAACTCCTGCGCAAGGAGCAGACGACTTGCTCTCCACGCTTTTTTCTGTGTGATGAATACTTGGTTTTTTGCAGGAGCGATTTGGCACGCGTTTCAAGAAACACTCTGCACAGGCTAGACAATGTTTCTTAAGCTTTAAAACGAATTGAAAAAATCAGTGCCTGCACATGGAGAGCTCACTTTCACCGAATGTGCATTTAGGTGGTGGGGCTTATATAAACTTTCGTGGCCTAGTTCTCTTCCTGTAAAAAATAATGCCAACAAACGTTCTAAATTCAATAGTCGAACTTGTTCACAGACGACCGAATTATGAATTGATGCAAAAATATATTCCAAAAGCCGGGAATCATTATGATCAAAGAAACTGCGCCGACTTTACATAACAAGATAAACAATTTAATCAAACTTTTCATTTCCCATGCAGGAAACATCATCAGTGAAACCTTCAAGCAGGAATGAGCGAAAAAACTTCATCAGTCCTAGTCCGCGTACACATCGGGGAGGGGGCTGCAGTTGAAGTTGCAGGCCGATGAGTCACTTCGGATGAACCATGATTCCACGAACCTGCACAGACCCTACCTTTGTTCACGCGCCAGAGTGGATGCAATCACCTAGTCGAAGCTGTGACCCGTATTCCAACAATTGTCTACGAGCTCTGTCTTCGCTCTTGTCGCATGCGTGGCCTTCGCCACGTCCCTTTTGTGTTCGTTTAGGCGAGTGCAGCGCCTCCGGCCTGTCTCCCCAATGGAGAATGCGTCACAGTCTAGACAGTTCAGTTTATACACAACACCACAGTGGGACTCTGGGGGAGGTGTAATTTTTAGGTTTAGAAATGAGGTCACATAGTTTACGATGGGGTCTGAAAGCTGTCCGGATATTCAAAGGGGCAAGGGCCCTGTGAATAGACTCAGAAACACCCTTCGAATAGGGTATTATTTTTCGCCCTGTCCTAAGTCTTCCATTATTCTGACTTCTTCTTTGTCCCATCTGCTTGCGCATGTTATCAATAAAACGTTTCGGATAATTACGATGGCATATCATCCGGTTGAACATAAAAAGGCCGACGTAAAAACCCTACTACATCGGTCCAAACGCTTTTCTTCTAATCCTCAATTGCGCGTATCTGAGGATGCTGTTATTGTTGACCTGTTGATGAAGCGGAATTATCCGAAACGTTTTATTGAAAACATGTGCAAACATATGGGACAAAAAAGAAGTCAGGATAATTGGAGACTTAGGACAGGGCAAGTAACAATACCCTATTTGAAAGGTGTTTCTGAGTCTATTCGCAGGGCCCTCGCCCCTTTGAATATCCGGACAGCTGACCTGGCCTAAGAGCCGCAAACTAACCCCCGAAACTTCCAAGAGCCACGAGGGAGGGGGGGCACACTTTTGTCTAGACAAAGAAACGAAACTCGAACTACTTGTAATCTATCCGAGTCAAAAGCAGTTCAACTGTACGTAAAGTAGCAGTCGCATACGACTACCAAACCACAACCTCTCTCAATTTAAAACGCGTTCCATTTCTCTTTTTGGGGACGTGCTCATCTGACCGGGAGGGAGACAGTTGTCTGTGTGTATGTGGGGGGGAGTGCTAGGGGAGGGAGCCGCGAGCCGCACTTTAACGCGCGAAGAGCCGCATGTGGCTCACGAGTCGCAGCTTGGCCACCCCTGGTCTAGACTGTGACGCATCCTGCATTGGGGAGACAGGCTGGAGGTGCTGCACCCGCCCAAACGAACACAAAAGGGACGTGGAGAAGGCCACGCATGCTACAAGAGCAAAGCGAAGATGGAACTCGTAGACCACTGTTGGAGAATGGGTCACAGTTTCGACTTTGAGAATGCGTTCACTCTCGTGTGTGAACAAAGGTGGGGTCTGCACAGGTTCGTGGAATAAGGGTTCATCTGAAGTGACTCATCAACTTGCAACCCTAATCGCGACCCCCTCCACGATGTGTATGTGGACTTGCTTAAATAGGACTTTTGAAGTTTTTTTGCTCATTCCTGTTTGAAGGTTTCACTGATGATGTTTCCCGCATGGGAAACGAAACATTTGATTAAATTGTTTATCTTGTTATGTAAATTCGGCGCAGTTTCTTTGATTACCAATTGATGTAATTTGCGGCACCATCTCCTGACAGGCACAGCTAGCAGACAACAGTGTGTGTCATATCTGCTCTACCAGGACTCCAAATAAGCATATATAAGCTCCGTATTTTTAGAAAATGTCTCATGACCCCTTTAAGACGACGAAGATTCAGAGATTATGACAGCTCACAGACACCCCTGGATGAAACATGGCACCTGGCTTTTCTCTTGCATGGTTAGACAGCTACCATCGTGGCTACCACCTTTGCACTTGAGGATGCAAGCAGGACTATGTATTCCTGCCTGTATAATTAAAAGACACCAGGACGACCCGGACTTTTTGCCGAGGGCCACCCGCTTCGCAAGCATTGGCGAAGAGCAAGGAACTAAACAGATGGCTGCTGCAGCAATAAACTGTGCCAAAAGACAGCGGTCCCCCTCCCCCCACTTCGTCCCCTTTTGGGCTAGCATCTCAAAGTCATTGCCTCACTATCCTTGTGGCTTCCATATTTCTGGCCTGGCTAGGTTGTCCAGCACCCAGACTAGCCAGCCACGTTTTGTACCGCACGGTGGCCAAAAGCACCATGCCATGCACATTTCGAGGGGCGCCGCCTTGATAAGGCACAGCAGAGCTGTCATGCATGGACTTGACGGCAGAAAGCCAAAGATCACAATATTAGTGATACTTGATCGTCTCATTTATGACCATTGAATGTAGTCGTTCACATTGGCTCTGTACGATTCCTCCGGGTCGGGTATGCAGCAACGCAGACCGACCATAAGCACTAAATCATGTTCACTTAGCGCCATTTTAGTGTCGAGTTAACACTGCACAGTATGTGTGAACTAGCCTTTAGCTGGGATTCTTAGGGGTAATGGATGGTGCTTTGCTGTTTAGCATAAAAGGGAAACTAGTAATAATTGAAAACAAGCGTGTTGTTGAATTGATACAAATACTTGAAGGAATAAAACATCAAGGACGAGGATGGAAACAGGACTTCTATGAAAGAAGTCCTATTTCCGTCCTCGTCATGTTTTATTCTTTCAAGTATTCGTATGGAAATGAGCCCACACTCTAAAACGTAAATTGCTATCTGAAGTGCACTAGCTTTAAGCTGGTATTCCACTCTTTAAAGCAATCTCAAGATGGATGCTAGTTGCAGTCAGGTACCAATTGTAGCCTCGAATTTCGTAGAAATACAAATGCACACCTTTGCAGACAAGGTACACCTGAAACATTGGACATGTTCATCGAATGAAATCTATTATATATATTACTGCCTAACAATATCTTCACTGTCATATGCTTCGTATAGACCGTGCACTTTCCAGTTTTAAATGAAAAACTGCTGTAAACATCTACCGGGATCAAAAATACAAAATTGGTTATAACCAAAAAAACACCTATTTCAAAAACATTTTGCCCTGAGCAAGGACCACTTTTGTCCAACCCCCTCCCCTTTCTTAGAATTCTGTCAAACATCTAATCTTACCTAGAATCAAGCACCCTGCAAGTCCTGAGTCAGGGGAATCATTGACCTTTGGAAGCAGTGGCAAAAGAGTTAGGTCAGTTAGTCTGCCACTACAAATTGTCCCAGTATTTTTGTTCTATTCAGGTCAGCTGGACAACAGCTTGAAACTACAGTGGTAGTCATTATAAAAAGAATCCTGCAAAAGAAGCAAAAACAACTTGCCTTCCTTATGACAGAAACAATTTGCTCGAGAACACCTACATTTTTGTCACCACACGGAGCAGATCTATAACAGGAAAGAAAGAAAATTATAAAGCTCCGGATGATAACACTAAAGAGTACTGACTTTGCCGGTGTTCTAACTCGTTCCTCGTTCGCAAGTACTGTTGCATTACAGTAAGCGTGAAGTGTTATAAGGGTGAATACAAATACTAAATTAAATTTGAATGCCTAGTTTTTCATGAGCTTTTTCCTTTGTGTCCAGTGTTTTTTATCAATCACAGTTTTCAGCATATCTACAATACAAAACACCTAAATACACAGTTTTGAAAAATAAATAGACATAAAAAACAATTCTGCAAATTTTTCCTTTTTTCTTTTAATGTAAATAAATATCGAAAAATGTGCACCCTAAACTCGTGACCTCAAGAAAAAAGCAAGTTTTGAGCATTGTTCATACACCGTGAAGTAGTTCCTACAAGATTTGGTTGTCGAAGGAAGAAGTGATGCTTCTGGCATTAAGTGTATGTCTCGATAGGATAACATATATCAAATCTAAAACGCACCTTTGTATATCTTAATTCGCCCCATAAAGGGGGACATTAGTAATGATCTGTGAGGAGAAACTCTTTTTATTACGATTCTTGTAGTGAAAACGAGTATACTACCTACCTACTCACTTATGAAAAATAAAATTTTCAAATGTCATTCAGGTCCAAGATGTTAAGTATGTAATCTATTTTCCTGTCCATGTTTAATGTCATCCGAAACGTAGTGCAAGTAAATATCATTCCTTGCCATTGAAAATGCATGTGCCTGTGTGTGCGGGATGTGAGCTTGGAAATGATACTTGGAGAGCAGAACAAAAGCACTGGTGACCCAAGAGTATGGCAGCACTTTCAACTGCAGACATGTGACTTCGATGTAATGTTGGTCATAATCAGAACGTCCCAATGAAGCAATATCAGAAACTTGTTTACTTTCAAACTTTGAGCAGAGTTGCGCTTGATCTTAAGACCAAGCTTAACTTCATTTATTTCCTTTGGTTTCTGTGGAGAATAAATTTCACCGCATTAGCCGTAACATCCGCCATGGACATTGAGGCCGGTGGAAGTACCAAGTACAGTGCCAGAACTTGGAGAAGCATGACTTTGTCGGGCCTGCCGTGACCTACTATGGAATGTACAGTGCGTCTTTGGTCCACAGCTCAGCAGCAAGGAGGACGGCACATGCCACGCGAACCGCCACGGACCCTTCAGAACTCGACTCGGGGAGCATTGGGATTTTCGCGCTCCACAATGTTCTTCTTCAGGCGCCTCGACTTCAAGCTGGACAGCGTCTCATAAGCCTTCTGAATTTCAATGAACGTCTCCTGCGCCTCCTGTTTCTGGAGGGGCTCGTGGAAGCGGTCGGGATGCCACCGGCGCGACAGCTTCCGGTAGGCGTTGGTGATCTCCTCCTGCGTGGCGCTGGCAGGAAGGCCCAGGACCTGCATGAAACAGGCCTTGTACGTGCTGTGCAAGGCCACCATCGGGAGAATGGCAGCAAGGTTGTTCACTTGTCTTCACTGCCTAGCAGAATGCGAGCTTCGAGGGTGCAAGCTAGTGATGCAAAACTATTGATAAAATGACTATCGAGAGTACTATCGATAGTTTTTGGATAGTCGACTATCGATACCACTATCGATAGTTTTTTAAAAGTCGACTATCGATACTATCGATAGTTTTGCATCACTATAGGCCGTAACTCAAGAAGGTAGGGCGAGGGTAAGACGGGCCGGGGAGGAGGAAGCAGACGGAACGCTAAAGAGAGAAGGAGGTTTCCCCATCTCTTCTCCAGCATTCCGTCTGCTTCCTCCTCCCCGGCCCGTCTTACCCTCGCTCTACCTTCTTGAGTTGCAATGGACTATAGCAAACACAGTTGCCGCACCGCCGCTCGCCTCCCTCTCCAATCTCCTCGCCCAAACTCACGTCTTCGTCATCACTGAAAGCTCAGCCAAAGTTGGGATGGTAAGTGCCTGGGCTAGTTGGTGTCCCATTTGGAAAAAAAATAAAGCGATATAAAGAGAGAAGAGGGAGCAACGCAAACTACTAGTGTCACCAAACTATTGATAGTAAACCGTCGACAGTACCATCAATAGGTGTACAATAGTCGACTATCGATAGTTTTCCGATAGTCGATTAATGATAGTTTTCCGATAGTCAACTATCGATAGTACTATCCATAGCTTTTCGACAGTCGACTATCGATAGTACTATCAATAGTTTTTCGATAGTCGACTATCAATAGTTTTTTTTTACTATCGATAGTCAGATTTCTGGCGACTATCGATAGTTTTGCACCACTAGCGCACGCGCAGCCCAGACATTGAGGAACGCAACAAGCGTGTGCTGGAGGCATAAAAAGAGGAGCCCTGCCGTTCACACCCTGGCAGTGACTATAGACCTTCTTCACAAGGGTGCTGCCATCTTGAATTGTTGCCACTTCCAGTATGGGCGAAAGCATTGTTTTGCCGACGCCACGCCAACAGAAGGCATTTAGAAGATAAGCGTAACCGTCACACTTTCTCGCTTTGCCTCCCCTCTTTCTTTTTACTACTTGTATTTTGAAACATTTTATTATTTGTTCGCCGCCCATACCGGATACGCCTATTAGGTGGCTGCAGACGAGAGTACACGGAAAAGGTCTATAGCATGAGTTTGTGATGCTGAGGACAGACAGTGTACGACTGGAAAAATAAAGATTTTAATTTTAATATTGCACGCTGACCGTGTTATCTTGACATTCCCTAAAGACTCCATGTTGTCTCTGCATTTGGCTTTCCCTCAGTACCTATGAACCTAAAGACACCTCTCCCATTTACAGTGACATGAGTAGCAAACACTATTGAAGCAGCCTGGATTGCAGACATGTTTGATGCCTGCTTTTACCTAATAAATTGCACTCGCTTCAGATTAACATCTCTTCAATGTCAGTCAACCTTTCTCAATCTGACAGTTCTCCGGCTGTCTGTTAATGGCAAGTTTATTTGCTCTAGTAGTTCTAGTTCATTAAAGAAACAAAGTGATAATTAGAGGATTACACAATTGCACGCTATAAATTTATCAAGTTTGCAGCACGCTTGAGGATGGTTGAGAATGACATTTGCCATTCTCACCTTCCGATAACTTAAAGGACCTCTTGCAAACCAGCCGAAGTGATGGGACTGCCAATCCCGGCGGGGTATTGGCTGATTATGACGACGACAGTATAAGTTAATCCTCCAGTACTTGCTTCAATATAGGCTGAATAGAAATAGAGGTTGACCCCTACACACTCTTTTACGTCACGCTGCAGCGGCGTTGTGTGGGGAACAAACACCAGGCAAGTCAGGCACTGCCATGTTGGTATGGTGGAAACCAGCTAGCCTTTCCATCACAAAGTTCTGCAGAGTTGTGTAAACTGGGGCTACACCAAAAGAGCTGACAAAGGTGTCAAGATGAGCTGCCACATGTTTCCTGCCAGCCCGGTCTGTCCGAGAATGTGGACAGGAACCAGAAAAACAAAAGGCTACACACAGTTGGAGAGTACTTTGCTACGGATGATTTGACAAAACTCGTTGCAAGTTTCACTTGTGTCATTTTAATGTGAATGCCAGACTTCTGTTACTCAGACTACTATAAAAACCCAAGTTAATAATATAAAACGAAATAGAATAATAAAAAAAAACTGACACCCTCCAAAAATTTATTTTTTATTTTCCTGACACACGATTCATTATGGTGCCAGAAGACTACCCAATCAATATTTTGCTACCACAACACATATATTTTTAATAAAGTCAAAAAACGCAACTGCTTGAAACCGAAACTGGACTGGAGAGAAAGAAGAAACAGAGGAGGAGGGAGTTGGAGGAAGTCATGTTGCTGTGCAACTTCTTTCAAATCGATTTATTTGGAGCTTTTTAAAAGCCACAAAAAATGGGTATCACATTTCTTTTTTATTTTTAATATTGTATGCGTGCCTTCGATGATCCACGGCTTTGATTATATTTGGTGGTTGCGTCTAAACCTTAGAAAACGGTGCATGACCACGGAGGAGAGAGTGAGTGCGATTCAAACCCGCCAGTTCTCGATCGGCGGTTTTCGCATGGAAAGAAACCGAATTTCGAGCCGCAAATTCTGTACTGGGCATTTAGGCTCTTAATGTCACGTACAACAAAAAACCTCGGCGAGCATAAATACCCTGTCAGTGTCCATTTAATGCAACCCAGGAACACTTACTTTGCACAAACACTTATTTGAATTATGACCATTCTGCACCGATTCATTGCCGCCTGTATAGCTACCCTGTTCTCCCCGAGGGCAGTCGCCTACAGTGCCACAGCCGCAATGCAACAAAGCTGCAACTTTAAAACCAGGTACAGCTAGACCTGGTGCTTCACAAAGCTGCTTTTCCACAAGCGATTTTGATTATTTTGTGCATGTGACCCCTCTACAATGAGTTGATGGTGAAAGGAAAAGGAAAGCACTACTCAAGCTCTGCCATTTAGTTATTTTAGCAGAATGTAACTGTGTTATCCGCTGGGATGTACACCCACTTGTTTGTGATTGGACATTCACAAAGTTTAACAAGGGTAAAGAGCCAGCCCCTAAGTTATTTGAGAAGAAATTTCTGAAGTAGAAAATAAATATGGTGGTTACTTCTACTTTCATACTGATGGTGTCAAGATGCCAATATTTGTTGGCTGTGCTGTTTACTCTAATTACATTATGAAAAGTGAAATGTCTTCATACATGGCAACTGTCCCCGAGACTTCATGCCCTTTCCAGCATTTTTACAGCTGAACTGTATGCTGCCTCCATGGCTGTAGATTATATAATGAGGGCTGTATTATTTGTTGAATCTCAGAGTGTTAACTATCGTAAAATACCAAGCAAGCATCCATTTAAAAGCCGGAGATAATCATGAAAAAAAGGGGTAGGCATGAAGGCTCTCTAGGGTATAGCACATGTTAGCTCCGAGAGCAGAAAAGCAGAAGGGCACATGGTAGGGTAGGCCCTTGTTTGATCCGAAGGAACAATACAGGGCCCTGGAGGAACCCCTAATGTTTAAAGCAGCTGTGCCACTTTCGTCCAGCCTGCTTTGCATCAGTGCTCACGCATAAAGCTCAAACGTTTGCTGGGGTAAGTGCTTGATAGGTTGTTTGCTTATATTTCAAATGTTTGAAAAGTATGGGGTGGGCACTTATTGCAATATGGGCACATACTCGGTATTTCATGGAACTGCAAAATATTCTTGGAAACATTTTGCACTACCAAATCGTAGGATTTAGTTGGTCGCCGAGTGCCATGGAAATAGAAGGCACCGAGGATGGCCGAAAGGGTTGCTACTTACCCAGGTGGCCCTCCCCAGCCTTGCGCATGCTTAAGGGGTGTCCAAACAGGATACTACAAAACGCACGACTCCAACAAATCGTGTGGCACTCCGCTTCCGGTTGTCTTTTTTTGCCGGGGGGAAACTTTCCCCCGTCAAATCTTCCCCTCGCTTCCACCACGGCAGCCTTGCTCTGCTCATCACATGGGTCCGAAAAGCCACTCACACGCTCTGTTGGCTGTCGGTCAATCGCTCAAGGCCTCCGCCGTTTTTCAAGTCCCGAAAACGGGAAAGGGAACGACACGAAGGTGAGGTACGCGAGGTCGTTGGAGAGGTCAGCAGGACGCAGGTGGCGTGTGACGTCAAAGCTGACGAACACCGACGTCAAAGAAAAGTGGAAGATGCGAGGAGAAAAGTCGAGATGTTGGCTTGACCACAAAGATTGTTAGGCGACACGACTCTTGCAAAAAATTGTCAAAATCAAAGCGTCCGCTTCAATATTCACGATTTGTCGGAGTCATGCGTTTTGTAGTATCCTGTTTGGACACCCCTTTACCCTACCAAGACGTCAAGCCCTTAATCAAGTTATCACTTTTTCATTCACGGCAGTTGGGGTGATCCATGGAGTGCAATAACAAGCTCCACATGAACAAGCCGGTTCTTTTGCTACCAAATCTCATTTCATCCTGCTCTCCATTAGCATCCTCTTGTGCCGTAATAACATGTGAATTACCAGATATATGACCTAAATAAATAACCCATAAATGTCAATATTTATGTTGAGTCTCCACTCACCGATAAAGAGGTCCCTGTTCGAGTTCAGGCAAGTGAGGTGAGAATGACATTACAATTAACGTTCATCGGGAAGGGGGGTCCTCCGCAAAGCATAATGTCTTGATTGCGTGACTTGAAATTTGGTAGTTACGAAATTAAAACCACTTCGACTGCCTATGGTATACGCAGCTGTGGCCCACGGTATATGCATCCAGAATACCAATAAGCAGAAATAAACAGCACAAAATGGCAAGGACACAACAGGGAGACACACAAACAAAACAAGCAAAGGGTGCTGACTAAAAATACAGGTATATCGTCTACAAGGCTAGAATTAGGTAGAAGAACACCATGAAAAATAACAATATACCCGCGAAGTCAGCACACTTGTCACTGATTTTTTACCAAGAAGGAGCTCGAGTAAAGCCCCTCCTGAAAGCAAGTGTTGGTATTATTAAAGTTTTAATTATTTCCTGCCGTTTATAAGATCTTATGTTACAAAAAGGTGAAACACTCTCCAACATGGTCTTGCAATGCTCCAAAGCTAGCCGAACCTATTAAACTCTAGCGACTCAGCTACTTTTCTGAACCTTTTCAAAATCTGTTTCAGTAAATGTTTTGCATCATCACTACTCTTGGCCAGCAGCAAGTTCCCTCCTGTTATGTACAAACTAAGCTAAACCAATGAAATGACTCAAAACCAATCCCTATGTCAAGTGGGTGAGCGGATCATGTTAAATTTTCTGCATTAAATTTTGCGCACGAAACTACAGCGGTGAAGTGTACTATGAAAGACATTTTGCAATTCACACGGTGTTCATTATAAAAGTGCTTGACTGGAGTCTCATCGCGATTCTAATGAAATTTTTCAGAATCCCAGGGAAGTCACAGGAATTGACAAGTGTTAAGTGTTTGGGTTTATTTTTAAGTGCTTCAAGTTTCATAAGTTTCAATTATTTTCCTTAATTGTACATTTGTTGTAGGCCTGATCAGTGGTTTTTGCTTTCTGTTGTATATTCCATGCAAACTCATACCCCCACCCCTCCACCTGTCACAGCCCCTGTTGAGAAGCATTCAGGAATAGATGTTTTTGTTTTCCACAAAGTGTGGCTCTCGGCACGCAAGCCACGTTGGCAAGGCCCATGCGAACAGGCCCCGCAGGGCAGTGTGGAAGCGCGTCATGGCCAGAGCCGGCACACACCTTGAGGGCGCTTGCTTCCCCTTGGGGGTCGAGGGCATCCACGAGCAGCCGCCACAGCTCCCTCCAGCCGTGGTGTCGGAGGTGGGTGTACAGCTCGTGCGCCACATTCTTAAAGTCCCGCCACAGGGGGCTGCCAAAGAAGTGGCGCAGCGAGTGGCGGCACTTGACCTGCGTACCGTCGCTGTCCGTCACGCTACAGTTGAAGTAGAGCCACGAGGCCCACAGCGAGCCATAAAGCAGGCAGCAGGCAGCGAGCACCAGGAGCCGCCAGCGCAATGAGCGCTGTGGGCGCGGCACCAGTCGCCAGCGCTTGGAGTGGTGGTTGAACATGTAACTCGACGCTAGGCTTGACCAGAAGACGCTGTGGGTGCTCCAGAAGTAGAGCGGGTAGGTCAGGTAGGCACCCAGCAAGGCCATCTTCAGGTCCCCTTCCTGCTCGCCAATGTTGCCCACCAGATGAACGCCTGGTAGGAAAGATCCCACCTACAACCACTGTGTGCGTTCCCCCGAGGGAGCAGGGTAACCTTGGACAACTCGAAGAGCCACACAAATATCACATTTTTGACTGCCCATTGAATACCAATTCATCCATTATATTTATATTTCCCTTAAAGGTCCTCATTGAGGACATCACAGGGAGGGAAGGAAAGGGGGGGGGGGGGGGGGAAGCACACTGACATAATAAAAAGAAAGTCAGCAAAACACAAAAAAGAAAAACATAAATGCATTAAAATCAAAAGAGCATGCACTCACACACAACAAAAAAAAAGTAGAAACACATTGATCCATTTGATGAGTTGAGCACGTGGACAGGGAATTATGCGATAGGCAGTCATTTATCTCAGAATAACAGTATATGCACAAATAACCAAACTGTTAGCACTCTTCTAAATATAAAATTAAACAAGGACGGAAAGCATCTGAACAAATGGTTGAGGCTATGTTCTCAGGAGGTATATTCCATTCATAAATTGAAAGTGGAAAGGAATTATTAAATGTGTTAGTAGATCCAGAGACACGTTGTACAGAGTTGGAGTTTGTTAATCTACGAGAAGATCGAAGAGGGGGATGTAAGAGCATCACTCTAATATCAGGATGAGGGTGGTAAATTTTATGAAAAACGAAGAGGCGAAAACATTTCCGGTGCGTAGCTAATGAAATAAGGCCCCAGTGTGACTTCATAGCCGGGACGTTTGCAGTGCCACTCATAGCTGGACAGGACGTAGCGAGCAGCACGGTTTTTAATGGCTTCGAGTTGGTTGAGGTAAACTTGGTGGGGACTCCAGATGGCAGCGGCATACTCAAGTTTTGGTCGGAGAAAGGTTTGGTAGGCTAATTTGCGAAGATTCGGAGGGGCAGAGTGTAGGCAACACCTGATGTATACCAAGGCTTTTGAAGCGGTGAGTGAAAGGGATTTGATGTGAGCAGTCCAGGATAAGTCAGACGTAAGGAACACACCGAGGTACTTGTTCGGCATGACAGCTTCAATATGTTGGATATTCACAATATATGTGCATGATGAAATCAAGCATGCACTTTCGAATGAATTGGACAAGTAAAGCACCGTTCACACATATGCAACCGAGTAAGATTGAGAAAGACCAGACCGGTTTTTAAGCCTCTTGCGACGTCTTAGGACCGGATGCACTGCTGCGGAGCAGGTTCTAAGACGTCGTAAGAGGCTTAAAAACCGGTCTTGTCTCTCTCGGTCGTACTCGGTTGCAAGAGTGTGAACGGGCCTTTAGAATTTGGAGCAATTTAGAGCCATCAGCTAGTCGGAAAACCAATTAATTATGGTGGATAAATCATTCTGCAAGAGCGCATTGTCATTAGGTGAAACAATTGGAGGATATAAAATTCAACTGCAAATCAAATTCGAATGTGAATATTTTACGCTCATTCTCTCCAAAAGCATAATTTATATCCTCTTTCTCACTCCCTCCATTTATTGTAAATTCAGCATGGATGCTTTAAAAAATCAAGGCTGGAAATCTTTTCTAGAAAATATACCTATATGAAAAGAAACCATTCTAGGCAAACTGCAAGTTCGTCTGCTTCTCTTGAGGGGTTGTGGTGACGTCAGAACGCCGAGTTCTGATTGGTTCGGAATAAAAGATAGTGGGTAGACCTCAAGGAAGCTTGCTTTGAGGTCTACCCACTATCCTTCAATTAGAGCTCGGCGTCTTTCTGAATTCACCGCAACTCTTGTGCAAGAAGCAGATGATTTGCTTTCCTCATTCTGCGAGAAACATCATGTCCCATACGGTAGAACCCCGTTACGGTAGAACTCGGTATGTATACTAAAACTTTCTATGTGATAAAAGGAGGTATCAGTCCTGAGTGAATTCCTATTTCGTCTAGAGCTCAAAAGGCGGGTATAGTAAACCGCCAAATCTCAGGATACTGGTTAAAGTCAAAATTGGCGATACAGGTAAAATATTAGCTCCCCATAAGTGCTTCCTCAGAGTGATCAGCAGCCTAAAAATGGTGCCATTTAGCTCACATATTCGAAACTCAGTCAACCGCCATATTCGCATTGAAAATTTATGAAAATCACTTACAACTTTTTAATAAGATAAAGGTTAGGTAGCTCTGAAACTTTGACATCTGGTTTGGCCTGCTAGCACGGCATTTCGGCAAGAAACGAGCATTCTGAAATTCATTGTTTATTTTTGCAAGAAAAAAAGAATTGTTAATTTTTTTGGGAGGACACTGTACATGATTACAGTCACATAGGTGATGGACACCACGATGTGAACAAATATGTGAATACTTGGGGCAGGTTATGTCAGAATTCTGTCAAAGTTGCTTGGTTGCCAGAAGCAAATGATCGACATTAGGAAATTCATTCCCGTAATTACTAAAGCCCTAAAAAAAGAAGAAGAAAAAAACGCAAAATCTGGCATGTGTACAATACCTATGAGCATTCCATATCAAGATTAATCTACCTGTTAAGTTTCATGCCCAAGGTGACCAACCATTTTAATTCTAGGCAGGACACATCACAAAATAAAACCGCCCTCTCCCATCAAACAAACAAATAAAATAATAATTAGCACGACATTTACATCGCGGCACAGTTTAAGTCAGGAGCGATTAGGTTAATAAGCGACTTGATTTGGTCGTACTCAACGTCATTCAAAAATACGCGCGAAACCTCCGCTCACGTGACCAGCACCAACCAATGCGGCGCGCTCGTTTTTATCGGCACGGGTATCGTCTGCTACACGCGCTTTTGACAAGCGTGCACACGTAGCACAGCGAACAGCCAATTTTATTTCTCGTAAATACGCACTCACTCGCTAGACACGCTTATTTTGGTTTCCGCAAGTGTTCAGGTAAATCAAATTGTGTCGAAATGTAACTGTTATGTCTAGTTTGTCAGAATAGTTTTGGAAAGCGTGAGGCCGTGGCTTCCAGTTTTGAATCGTCCATTCTTTTGACAACAAAGCCACCTCCATGCGACCTGCGATAGAACGCGCCCAGCCGGCCCGGTTCTGGAAGGAGCTTTGGACGGGAGAGGGAATCGGATGACCAGCGTCGGTCCCACTCGAAAGGCGCTAAAAAGATTGCGCACTACTCTCCACAAGCATCCTCCAAATGAAACCCACCAGCTGGTGAAAAAGTTGCATCTGCCTGGGTTCCCGATAAGAGCTGCCCGTGAAAGGGGACAGCTGTTGTTTCCCGAGCGGCGGTTCGCGCGTTCTGACGGCGCGAGCGCCCAAGGACGAAGGAGGACTCTTCCGAGAAGGGCTTTACTACGGATTGGCGTTCCAGGGCAACATAGGTCGTTGACAAAGTGGCTGGCTTACCGACAGCCACGGCCAGCGGCACCGGAATCGCGGCCAGGGGCAGCAGAGACTCCGGGATGACGTCCAGCGGCAGGGCGTAGAGCACCATGTAGCCCAGGGCGTCCGACACGACCATCTGGCCCACCGAGCGCGCTGTGCTGGACACGGGCTTGGCATTCCTCTGTATCTTCTCCTTGAGCTGTTCCGTCGCGGCCGGGTCCCTGTTGGCCAGCTTCACGTACTCGGGTATTCGCCACAGGTCTCGGAGCCACCCGATTCCGAAGTAGCCTCCCAGTGTCATCCACCAGACAAACGCATGCCGGTCGCGACCCAGGTAGAAGTGATGGGCCCCGAACCAGCCACCAGTTAGCCAGAGCACATAAGTTAATAGCAAACTCTTGGTCATCGCTGCACTCGCGCAAGGGCTGTGTGCCGACTACGGCGGAGCCGACTGACGGTTCGCAAACGCGCGGGAACCTGCGGGTATGGTGGCTCGGGGCCTCGGGGTCTCGGCGAGAAACACCACAAAACACCGGCCAACGTTGACACCGGCCCACCGGCACTACCACACACAACTAGAGTGTAGTTCACGCGGCCGTATGAATAGATAAATTAAATAGCCATAAATAACTATTACCGATTGTTACTTTTGTAGCGGGCGGTAGCTTGCGCCATCTATCTATAAAACTAAAAACAACGTGATTTATTATTAGAATGCAATTAAATGCAAAGGTGCTTTTTATTTTTTTTTATTTTAGGACCGACGATTAGTTTGCGCTTTCCACTTTTCCCCCGCTTCCTCCTCTCGACTCTTCTACACTTCTACTCTGTCCGCCGTGGCCTGTTTCCTCCTCCCCCAAGGTGAGGAGGATTTTCTGCCTTGCAGGGTCTCGAGTCTGAATGGGCATTTCTGTAACTACAGGGCTACAGGGTGATTCAAGAAGACGCCAGGCTCTTTAAATCGACCGCAAAATTCAGTTTCTTAACCTATCGCTACTATCGCGCTACGGCTTTGTGCAGCGTTGCCCACAGATGGTGGTTTTTTTTTTTTTTTTTTTTTTTTTTTAAATTTGCAAAGAGCGACCTTACCTGAAGAAAAAGTAAAGAAAGAAAAAGGCTTAGCTCCTATGGAAAGGCAGCGACGCTACCGGTCTTCAAACAACACGGCGCCGTTTCGCACGGGAGACAAGAGATGGCGCAACGAACGCCGCCAACGAACGAGAGCCGGCGTTTTTAGCAGACAATCTTTTCGACTCAAAAGCGGCGCGCGTTCATTTTTTTATACCACCTGAAACTGGGTGGAAGGAACACGACGGCTTGTAAGTAAAATGGTTAACTTACACCAGCTCGCCTGCGCCCTGACTGTTTTTTCAAGGAACTGCAGTTCCTTGTCTGCTAAAGACGGCGGCTCTCGGCGTCGTATGCTCGTTCGTTGGCGGCAGTTGGCGTCGCGACCGCTTGCGCCATCTCTTGTCTCCCGTGCGAAACGGCGCGTGTTGTACTACGTTAGAGCTCCCCACTACTAGTACCCTAGATACCCCTGGTACCTGCGCGCCTTTGTCCTGCGACTTATCTCCTGTCACCTGACTGCCCGACGCCTGGGGTGCTATGTTGCGCTTTTTGGACTCCCAGGAGACTAGGAAGAGGGAAGTGACGTCAACGACTAGAGCAAACGCAGATTGGATGTTGACAGAAGAAAACGAAATCAACACCCAATCTGCGTTTGCTGTGTCGTTGACGTCACTTCCCTCTCCCTAGTCTCCTGGGAGTGCAAAAAGCGCAACATAGCCCCCCAGCTGCTCGAAGGCACCATTGAGCTGAGTGTCACTCAGCTCTCTAGCGTCGTCGAGCCCGCCAGCCAACAGGCGGGCTGGGCGGGCTCGGTAAAAACGCAGGCGCGCCGCCGCTGGCAATTTTTGATTGACGCGCAGGACAGCGTGTTCTGCTCGATTGGGGTCACGTGGTCCGTAAGCGCTGATCGTCTGCAAGCGTCTCCACTTGCTTTCCTTCTTGCGTTGAGGCTCTCATTGAGGCCTCCTTACAACACAATAATGCAACACCTGGCAATTGTAATTAATTTCTCCTGGGGGCGTTCGTCAATAAATTTCAAATGCTCTTTATGGGTCGAGTTGCTCCCTCTTTTAAAAATCTAAGCTCTCTACGTGTCCAGCTTTTTCTTCTTTGAGACGCCAGAGGGCGAGTAGCGACTTTCCTGGTCTAGATACCGGATGTTGCGGTACAGAATATGGCGTTGCTTCCGTTATGGGTAATGAAATTGCCGTTTTCTTTTGCCGTCAAGCAAATAATTTCTCGTCTCTTCGTCTTGGCAAGTGTGCGGTTTTTTCGGTGTGCTTAGGCCCGACGTTAGTTGTCTAACCGCTCTACTGCATCCTGTTGCCCAGCGAGCAGGGTCTGTGCTCGGAGTAATTGCAATATGGAATTCGCCTGCTGCATGAACGACGCGCGTTTGCGAGCTGCGCCCAAAGCGGCAGCGTGATGGTGCTTTGTTGATTTGCTCACTTGCTCGCGCTTACTAACCGCTTGCCCATTGTCCGCTCACTTCAGATCTAACGCCAGCGGACTAGCGACGGATTGGAGGTCTGGGCATGACTCTTTCCCCGAGCGATAATGAATGATTTGTAAGTAACCGTCCTCTTCCTGCGCTGCCCCCGGCTGCCCAACTTTGCGTCCGTCACTTGCTGCATTCTCCTGCTGATCGTTGCAAGCACTCCACCCAAACTGCCGGGCACCGGTTCAAGTAGACTGGGCCTGGAAACCGAAGCAGGCCTCAACGAGCGATGTTGAGGCCTGCTTCTAGTAAAGTTCCTAGCCTGCATTGGTTCGGCTAATTATAGAATATTGCTCTATTGTTTGGCACTCTCAGCTGGCTCGCGACGTCAACAAACTTGACGCTGTCCGGAAACTGGCTCTACGGTCCATTTGTAATCAGTACGGTCGTAGCTTTTCGTTCTCCCTTCCACGGATGTAGCGGACCGAGTAGAACTCTTTTACCAAATTGTGAGGAACGACTGTTTCATCCCCTTTTCTCGTTACCATTTAATGTATCATCTATTCTACGAACGTTGTCACATATTCTTCTTTACTCGACTGTTTTAGATCCTTTTTTTTCCCCCCCTCTGACTGCTTTAGAATTGGCAATAATTTTTCCGGCAATGTTGTGGATTATTTCTTTTGGTTAACCACGTTCTGTAAATTGTGTGTGATTTGTATTATGTGCTTTCGATCTGGCATTGTTATGTATTATGTTCAATATTAATTAGTTTGCTTCTTTTTTTTTTTCTTATAAACTGACGTGTATGAGTGCATTTGAAGTGACAGATACGTTGTATATGCAAGGGTCACCCTTATCAAACTTTTGTATTTAAGGTTGAAATCATGTTTGTGTACCACACCTTCTGTAAACTGGTTGAATGTTAAGCACCATTCACACACTTGCAACCGAGTAAGACCGAGAGAGACAAGACCAGCCTTTTGCAACGGCGTAGGACCGGGTGCGCTACTGAGGAGCAGGTCCTGAGCCATCGCCAGAGGCTTAAAAACCTGTCTTGCCTCAGCCGGTCCCACTCGGTTGCAAAGTATGTGAACGGGCCTTAAGGTAAAAAATAAAAGCCACATGAGGGCTAATTCCACAGCACAGGTGGGCTAGGAAGGAAATTGAGCTTGGACCCAGGATTTTCGTGCCTGCTCAAAATGAGCTTTGAGGAGGCACAAGCCCCTTTTTCAGAACTGCCGTTGGTGCCTCCTTGAAGCTCACCAAGATTAATGAAGGGTCTGAAAAGGCAGGCTCTGAAATGTGGCCATTAGACCTTTCCAGCGCCAATTTATTTGCTCAACAGCCATGTTTTTTTTTGTTTTTTTTATTCAATTTACGTTGAAAATATTAAGACCATTTAAAAGGGCACAAAAAAATGTTTAGTGAAAAATACATGGCTATATAGTTGTAGCTAAAGACAGAAAAGGAAGGTACACATATCAAATATAGAATTATTCAAACAATACACATGGAACAAAATTGATCATTAATCAGCACATGAAAGCAATGTGATCAAAACAGATGCAGTGTGTGTACTTGCACAACTTTTCATCCAAGTGGAAGTATGAACATACAAAAGACTTCTACGGTAGGCAGCAAGATGTTCAACGCCTTGAATTAATTTAGTGTCGGGAAGAAGTTGAAGAGGTAAGGAGTTCCATCAGAGGAGCTCTGGATGAACGTGTTTAGTCCTCTTGGAATGGTGAAACCAAATTGCTTGTTCCCCAATCGCTCGATGACAACTTGTTGGGATAGATGAAGCTGGACTGAGGTTCCATGGCCCAGGGGGAACATAATGAATGTGTCACGAGGCACCCTCGGAAATCGACTGGTGTTCTTCCATATCTGGCATGTTAGTCGCTCAAATGTATTTATTCATTTGAATGGTTACATGTCAACCTCTCGACGAAAATCATCCAGTTGCAATGGGGATAAAGGAACTACACTTAACTCCAGAGGCAGCCAATGCTTCAAGTGCGAGCATGTGACCCTGAACAATGCACTGCAAGAGCATGTGTGCTTGGCAGGGACGCTGAAAGCCTGGAGCTCGCTCTTGTAGTTTCTGCTATGCTCACACTTGAAGTGAAATGGATTATAAATTATTTTAGCATGGTGAAACTTCAAAGCTTCTGTACACAATGTATTTCAGGGCGTCGTGTGAATCCTTTAAATGCTCAACACCTCATGACAAAAAATCTGTGGATGAAGTTACGTTGGTGGAAACACTCTATAGACCAGGAGTCTGCAACCTTTTGCTGCAGTGGACCAAATCGCTGCAAAGCAGAGACTGAGCGGGCCGGACAGAGAAATGGAGAGGGGAGGCAGAGTGAAGGGGGATTATCAGCCTATAAAAATATAAGATAAAAACGCTTTTGCCTATTTAACCCCTTGCCTACTAATAACGAGTGTTACTCATGCCACCCCTTAGGGACCATAAAGCCCGACCAGGAGTGTGACTCGCGTTTCAATTTCAGCCCTTGTTTACCGCGCTCTCTGACAGATGGCAAAACCACCCCTGTTGCTCCAGCCTACCTTGGGTAGTTTGTTTTGCTGCTTGACAGAGGGAGAACGCTTCATTTAGCCAAGGAAGAAAAAAGCAGTCGCTTGTGAGCGTTCATGCTAAAACAACATGGTTTTGGTACGGAGGTCCGCTCCAGCCGACAAAGAGACAAAACCTTCTTTTTGAAAGGGATTAACGCTCAGGCTTATGTGACGACGAATCCAACGGCCTTTCCAATTTTTAGGAACCTGACGATAGTTTGATGGGCAATGACAGAAGTAATGATAACAATGTGAATCATGCAAGCATTCCATCAACTTCGGCGTCTGCACGTCAGTGAGACTCTGACCATTAGTCCTGATTTGGAGCAAGATATGACGCCTGGAAGTTGAGAAAATGTTTTTGTCCTTTTTTAATGGAAATATTGTGCTTAAAATAAAACTTTTCTGTGCATTCCTTGAAGCGAAAAATAGGGACTCTAACCAAAAATTGAAGAAATAAGATGGGTTGGCAAGGGGTTAAAGGGATATGCAAATATGTTCTCTTGATTGAGGCATACGTAACATAAGATTACAGGAGCCTCCTTTCAGTAAGATTTTGGGTGTTCAATATTGCTTGCCAAGGTTGAGAGTCAGAAAGCATTTTGAAGGTGCTGAACTGACATTCGCAAGACCCACCTTTGACTTCACAGTTTTTATTCTGAAAAAGTATGTTTGCAGTTATATGCGTGCTGTAGCATCAAGGCCGCTGCGAGATTTCGTGGATTTAAAAACTTTAGGGAGGCCTGCGGGAAAACTTGACAAGGTTGTTTACCGCAAATGCCTTCTTCAGCTTGTCTGTTTGGGGATCAGCTGATAAACTAACTCTACATCCGATTATACATGGTTTAAAGCCAAACGTACCTGTTGTCCTGGAGTGTATGTGGGGGCTGGAGGGGGAGGAGGGTCATTTCCGGTGGCATGCTGGGGGCTGTATATATACTATTGCACTGTTTGTTTTCCGCTAATATGAATGGCCAACTAGCCCAATCGTCAACACTACGATACTATTGCCTCTCGGGCTGGACCCGGCCCACAGGCCATAGGTTGCTGACCCCTACTATAGACGGTTTGTTCCGTGGGGAGCACCATGTTGAATACTGTAGCACCATCTGGCGAGGTCGTGCGCCCTTACTGGGAGGAAGCTCTCTTCAGGACGCATCTGGTGCGTCTTGTGTGTTGCCGTGTTATGTGTGTTGAACTGCCTTTCTTGTTCAATGTTTACACCAACAGGCACTGCAAATATCTTTTTGCTTGGAATTATGGCATCCGTCACAGTGCAAGTGTTGCAAACAACAGCCAAAGCAAAAATGGAACATTGCTTTACTTAGATGCAAATGGTTTTATGCTTCACTGAGGTTTCTCCTGGCTGTAGATTCAGATGCAGGTGCATTGAAAATGCTTTTGTTCTGTGTCATTCAGAACAAGGAACGATCGGGTATGCAAAAGAAGTTGTGAGACGTGTAACCACAGGCTTTCAGATTATGGGCCACTTGTTTTTTTTTCTTTTAGACTTATTTATTTACAAATTCTTCATTCCCCAGTTGGGAGACATGGTACGGATAGAAAAACAACTTGGAATCCAACGGAATGGTCTAACAGCCGACAGTGCCTTTACACTGCAGAACAAAGGGCTCATACAATTGAAAGGTGTAGGTGTTAAATATAAATATTTTTAAACAAAACAGACAAAAAAAATCTTGAGTATTGGTCAAGAGGAAGCAGAAATACTATTCAAAGTACACAAGACGGCTTTCAATCTCTTAAAGACTAATAAAAAAATAAAAAAAAATGACAGAAAAAAAAAGATTACAATTACAAGTGTGGGTGATTAACAAAATCTGATGAGTTGCAGAAGTTTCCAGTAGCCGTTTCATTTTTGGGCCGTTCTCGAGAAATAAGAGTGCGTAACAGTGTCTATATTCTACAAATATATAACTGTAGGAGTTCAGCCATTTCAGCCTTCCCTTTCATTGCATTTGTTGTTTTGGGCCGTCTTGTTTCGTGCTTCAGGGGAAACAGCAACCAACTTTTTTTTTTCAAGAGCTAGTCTGGAAACTTGATATGCTCTTGCATATGCAGTCTCAGATAGCATCCGGTGGGCACAGCTTGTTGCAGCGTTTGCGCTGGAGGAACTGGCCCCGTGTATTATGGGTCCGATGAGGGGCTGTTGCGCAGTGCTTTTATCTAAAAGCTCTAGCACCTGGGTTACCTCCTGTTTGCATATGGTGAAAATTTGATTCAGTTTCAATCTTACCCACTGCTTGATAGGCCTCATCACCTTGCTTGCCAGCAGTGGAATTGGCTGCAGAAAAAGATAACATTTCTATACAGTTTTGGAGGAGTGGAACAGTTGGCATGCACACAGCTATATTACAAAATAGATTGATGGTAGAGAAACACATAGCATTCAGACGATCACAGAAAGGTTGAGCCAAAATTTGTGTAGAATATATTTTAATATAGTCGAACCCTAGTTTGTTTTTCATTTGGGTAACGCCAAAGAGTAACTCTAATTTCATAGGGTGTGCATGAGACTCAAGTGGTGTAACAATGCCCAAAAATAAGGGAGTCATTGCTGTTTTTTTTTAATACAAGCGTGCACATCTATAATCACATAATTTACAGTAAAAATTCGAAATTGCAAGTTTTTGTCTGGCTGGGGAGTTATATCATGCATTAGTAATTGCATGCAGCTTTTTGTTTTGCAAGGTGAAAAGCTTTTGACCCCAGACGAGAAAAGGGTAGCTTGAATGCTCGCAGGGGCTGGGTTGACCTTCGACATCCTGGAACGCATGCTGCACTCAAAGGAGAAGCTTCTCTTTCTGAGCCTTTCTAATGCTGAAACTTTCTCACTGATCCTTGCTCTGATTTATTTTTTTAACTCGACTTTACACCAGACTTTGCTACTAGATGCCGTCTTTACCAAGTCTTTTTTTTTTTTTTTTTTTTTTTTTTGAGGGACTAGAATTTTACAAAAAATGTAGCAGGTTTTTTTTAGCCCTGGATCTAAGTTGGAGGACATTAGAAAAAAGGTGGAATTGGTAAATTCGTTAGCTAATTAACTAAAACGTTTTGACTACTTTTATTTTCAGTTTTTAATGCTTCAGGTAGTTGTAGAATTGACGCTTGACCACCTTACAGTCTAACTGTGGCATGTAATTGTGATAAAAAATGAAAAACGTTTACAATTCTCTAATGCTAAATTGGAGTGCAGCTCTTGAGAGGAGGGGAGGGTATGCCCCTTCTCCCCCTCCCGTCCTCCTCTCCTGCTCCCCTGCCATTTAGCTGAAAATTTTCCGCTAAATTTAGCAAAAATTTTCCCGCTAAGTTTAGCGAAAAATTTCCTGCTAAATTTAGCGGGGGAATTTTTCCGTGAAATTTAGCGGGAAAATTTTCCTGCTAAATTTAGCAGGGAAATTTTCCCATAATACAACGTGCAGTTACGCCCACGTGCATTATTTTCATAATGCAACGCGCGCGTTTACGTTGACGCCAACGCCGCTCAAGCCAGAAACGGGTGCCTAAGAGCTGCACTCTAGGAACTTCATAGCGGGCACTATGGGATGAGAAATGTTATCCTTGTACATGGCCCCAAATTGAAACAGACCCACTGAAGCATGCCGGTGACGTCAATCTCTCTGCTCAGCTCCGGCTCCATAACCCACATATCCACGCCGCAGATAACCTTAGCAGTGCGACGTAAGTGCAGAGCGGAGGGATCAACATTACAGGCGCTCTTCAGTGTGTTAGTTTTGGTTTGGAGCTTTGTACAAGGATGACATTTCTCATCCTGTAGTGTCCGCTACTAATTTTTATCACATTTTGCACTACGGTCAGATTATGAGGAGGTCAGTGTCAATTCTCTGTTAATTGATGCCCCAAAAACTGAAAAAAATTTTAGTTAATTAGCTAGCTACTTAAACGCTTTCACCTTTTTTCTAGTGGCTCTCATGGCCGCCAACTTAGCTCCAGGTCTAAGAAAACACTAACACAAGTTCCCTTCTTTTTAGAAAATACCTTTCTGTAAAAAGACACCCTGTTTATTGCTGTGCTTTCATTAGTGGTGCAAAGGAAAAATTGCCCATTGCATAATGTTCATGCATCTCTATTTATAGGAATTACGTCCTTGCCTCTTTGCTACAATAGGCCCTTTTCTAAAGTCTGTGCCTGTCCGTCATAGCATGCTCATCAACTCTAAGCACGTATTGGACACGAGGGCTGCATCAGCATTAGGTGTGAATTCGGCTCGGCTTTGTATTGAAAATGGGCACAGCGTTGGCGTTCGGTGAGGACCCAATTACACGCTTTGTGTCCAAGTAGTGGCGACAGCCGATATTGCTTGATGTACTTTTGAAAAGGGTCTATTGTGAACGGTGCTGCTTGTGGAAGTACCCGGTAATTTTTTCCTTGGTGGTAATTTATAAAGCTTTGTTTATTTTAAATATCATTCATTAACGAAAGCTTCAGTGCCCTACCTAGAGACAAGTTACACCAACTTGCTGGGTTATTTATTGGAAGTGCTAGCAGGTACTGAGGGCCGAAAAAACATTGGGGATCAGTGTTTTTCAAATTCTTGGGGCGGGTCATTGACAAGCTTGTGAAACAAGTGTCGTTAGCTGTGTTACAAATCTTACCCGACCAAGTGCAAGTTGCTCCCGGAGGTCATTTGACGTGACAAAGTGGCGCTTGACGCGAGTAGGTTTTGGAGCACCCTGGTGCCCGGGAAACTTTTGGAGGGTGACCGTTGTGACATCCGCTCTCTCGGCACAGCACCAGGCCCACTGCATACTATGGCCAGTCGTCGACGGTGTCCCGCATGCAGCAGCAGTACTGGACCACCAAGCAGGCCTTCTTCCGCAAGATTGGCCGCAAGGAGGACGACTGCATCATTGCCAGCGATGCGGAGCTGGACGCCAAGCTGGAGCTGTTCGGAGCCATCCAGGATTCGTGCAGCAACCTGCTGAGGGTGCTCGAGGGCTACCAAGACCGCATCCTCGGTGGGTGCTCTCCCGCAGAGCGGCACAGCCGGCCGCTCAGAAGTGCCATTGCACGAGATGCTGAGTTGAGAAGTTTTCTCGCATTCTCACGTTTCTGGAGAATGCCTGCAATTTCTGATTGAGTTAACCAGCAACCATGATTTGAAGCAACGACATGGCTTGAGTGTCGCTACTCTGAAGCGTAGCCCAATGATTGACTCTAGGGGGGGTCTGGGGGGGAGGGAGGGAAGGAGCGAGGGAGGGAGGGGAAGGAAGGTGGAGGCGAGGTTGGTTCAGACTCTGGCATGCCTGCCTAAGACTTATAGTTCTTGTAGTTTTAATTGAATTGTTTCAGTCTTATAGTTTGAACTTAGAGTTGGAATTGTTACATATATTTTAATGCAGTAATTCGAAATGTCTTTAAATCTAAGCTATGTTTTGTTCACATCAAAGTAGGACACGGATGAAAGTAGGTATGAGAAATTGACCAAACTGTAGATCAAGGGCAACTAAAATTGAAGTATCATCGGCGTGAACAAAGTCCACTACTGTGGTTATTTTTAAATCACTTATGATAGTTTCGTTCGAGAGGGAGAGGAGCACTGCATTGTGGTCAGAAGTGCCTTCAACCACTTCACAAAAACAAAACTTTTCTACAAAATTTCCCCTCCCCCCCCCAAAAAAAGAAGAAAGATCTTAAATTGGCATTTTTATGCACTCGTGCAAAGGTTTTTACTTCCTGCAATAAATTAAAAGTAAGAGCTATGTCCAGCGATTCTATGTTATCTTCAAAGTCAACAGTACCCTGAAAATAATGAAGCCAATATGTATATGTTAGGTAAGTTTAAATCTCTGCCTAAAATAACTCTGGTTTTGTTGATCGAGATAACCCTTCAGACCTTGTAGAATAAAAATGGGCATGTGTGGAGGCCGTACACGACTCCAAGAAGATACCACACTGAACAATTTATTGTTTCTTTATAGCTAGAATATTCCCTCCACCCCGAAGATAAAGCTCAGGTTCACAGTTTCTTATGTTTTTCTGTATAGTATGGCATGTATCGTATGTTTCTCTGGTATCTTTGTCCTTCCCAATAACTAAGTGGACTCTAGACTCTTCCGACCGACAGAGGACCGCTCGGCATTTCCAGGCTGCAAGAGGAAGGAGCTTGGTGGGCGGCCCACGCGCCGCCAACTTCGGATTATCGCGCCTTCTTCCGAGAGGAATTTAGCCATCAAACTTCCGTGCTTGCTTCCGTCGAGGATCGCAAGCCTGAAAGCGGCTCAAGGTGGTCCCATCCACTACTGAGTCTACGTGCCAGATCACATGCTTCAGCATGAACACTTAAAATTATTTCCTCTTGAGACTTTTTTTTTTTTTTTTCCTTTTCGTTCATAACATTTTTTTGTAATTCTTACTCTAAATCAAAACCAACTGAATTAAAATATCTGCATGAAAACCAAACCGTCAATACACGCAAACAAGAAAATGCGTAGCTTCCCGCACGCACCATGAGCGGTTTTGCGCAAGTACGAAAGCAAGTGTGCGAATGCAGCGGCTCAATTCCTCTCAGAAGAATGATTGAAAAGCGGAGCCGGTGGCGAGTGGGCTGCCGTACCGAGCACCTTGATTTCGCAGCGTGGAGGCGCCGAGTGCTCCTCTGGCAGCCAGCGAGTCTGCAGAAGGTCAGCACAAGCGTCGGCACCTGCCCAACGCTGCACAATGGGGGCGCATGTTCAGAGGCGTGCTATCTCGGGCCCAGCGTCCGCCAACATATGTCGCACGCGCAGTCCGGAGTGCATCGCTCCTGCGCTCTAGACAGGTTTGATGCCGAGTGTACATACTCTGAGAATTTACTTCAAGTAAAGTGCAAGTATTCTAAACCTCCTTGAAGTAGTACTTCAAGTACAATGTACTTAAAGTACTTCCCAACACTGGTTTTAGATTTCATTCATGACTTGGGTGGTTAGCTTGTCTGGAGTTTCCACTGGTAGTTCTTTCATGTCTTGAATGGTAAGATTATTCCAGCTGTCTCTGTTCTCAAGGTTGGAAACTTTGACAAGTGGGAAAGTTACTTGCTCCTCTAACATAACCACTTTTGTATTGAACAAAGTTTAAGGTTGTATCGAGAGTATCCAAGTGGTGGGGGGACTGAGTTTGTTTATCACTTTCAAGGGATGTTTCCATAGCTTTAATTTTCTTTTTGCCATTTAACAGATGCAACGCAAGCGCCTGATCTGTCAGGCCGGAATTTGATTCAATATTCCCGCTCAACAGAAATTTAACACATGCAAACATTCAAACAAAAATGAGCTCTTTGTGGGCAGGGAAGCAGCACGATAAAACTGCTGTCACTGCGATAGCAGGGAAAGTTGTAAGAAGGAACATCCTACAGCGCAAAAATGTGCCGATTAAGCATGGTAGCAGTTGGGCTGCCACACTGCCTATTGAGGGTCCAATCTGTCGGTGCTTCTTTTGTAGCCGGCGATTGGTTGACAGCGTTTGGACGTTGCAATAGAAGGTGGCTCCCATTGGGTGCAATTCGGATGAAAAAGCAACCTTGTGAATGATTTGTGGCGTGTCTGTGGTTGGTCTTAATAGCTCCAGCACACATTGATGTCCGTAGAAAGCTTGAGGCTTCCATGAACAGGTATCCTGTTGCCAGGGGCGGATGGAGGAATTTCCTGAGGGGGGGTCAGGTGTTGGTCAGCGTACAATATGTTCAGGAAACCCCTCCCCCTCTCCCTCGTTTCATGCCCTAAATTTTACAGATGCAGAAATCAAGAGGGGGGTCCGGACATCAGACCCCCCCTCTAAATCCGCCCCTTCCTGTTGCAAGGAATGAAGATTTGCAGCGAGAAAGTGTGCCGATTAAGCAGGGTAGTAATTATGCTGCCCCTGCTTGGCATGCAACTTCACTGCACCCGCCACTGTCGGTTAGGTGACACAAGCTATTGCCCGACACAGTGGGGCTCATTTGAATGATCCCTATGCTGCCCGTCACTCTGCTCTAGCATACTTCCATGAAAAAAAATGCCCTGAAATGCCAGTTTCCTGTGAATGAGATAAAAATTGCCGGCTCTTCTTGACATGTGAGCTATCACCAAGTTTTTGCACGTTTCTTGCACAACAGAACCTGGGTTTGCGCATTGATTGCAATCTGTAGTATCGGTTTCTGTGACACGAATTCATAGTGCATTCCCACGTGTTTAGTACACCTATGAGCACGAATGTGCCTTGTCTGCGACCTGTAGTGTCAGTTCTTGTGCCATGCGAGTGTAAAGGAGGTGTCCCCGTGGTTTTCGTTAATTTCTGATAACATTTTGCTTCTCTCTTCACCACGGGTCGAGATTTTACGGCAACAGTGGTTCAATCTGATAAGCACTTGCAACATCGGATTTTGTATACTTCGCAGTACCTAACCGCATGTTGAAGGTAATTTTCTGTCGAGCAGTCAGTTCTCTCTCGTTCCCACAAGCAAAGGTCGACGAGCTTTAATGTTCTCGCAAAGTAGTTGCTTGACGGAAAAATGAGCAAGTATTTGAAAGGGACCGAAAATAGAGACGGGTAAAATTCCCCCCTCGGCGGTGCCTGACTTGCTGGCCTTGCAGCCCTGAGCCAGGAGGAGAATGCGCTGGGCCGCTTCCTCAAGGAGTGCGGGAAGCAGGACAAGACCCGGGCGGGCAAGATGATGGGGGCCACGGGACGGACTATGAGCCACTCGGCCCAGCAGAGGTAAGCTGCACTTGCTTGGTACACCTCTGGCATCTGCGGGATACACACCTTGCACTCCAGCCACCCAGGGTCAGCTCTTTATAGGGACACTGACAGGGTATTTATGCTCACCAAGGTTTTTATCTGTACATGACGTATGAGAGCCCAACTACCCAGAACACAATTTGCAGCTCGAAATTAGTTTTCTTTCCGCCCGAAAACCGCCGATCGAGAACTGGCCATTGGAGTCTCCTTCACTCTCTTCTCTCTGGTCACGTGCCGTTATTTTATGGTTTAGACACAACCACCAAAAATAATCAAAGTCGTGGGTCATCAAGGGCACACTTTCAATACTAAAAATGGACAAAGAATATTATGCCCATATTTTGTGGCTTCTAAAAAGCTGTAAATACGTTGATTGGAAAAAAAAAAAAAAAAAAACAAGTTGCACAGCCACGTGACTTCCAGTAACTTTCTCCCCCTCTGTATTTCTTCTCCCCCCCCCCCCCAAGTTCAGTTTCGGTTTCGATTTCGAGCAGTTGCGTTTTCTTACTATATTAAAGATATATGTGATGCTGTGGCAAAATATTGATTGGGAAGTCTGCTTGCACCATATTAAATCACGTGGAAAAAAATTTAAAAAAGTTTTTGGGGGGTGTCAGTGTCCCTTTAAAGGCGGGCATACACTTTCCACTTTGGCCCACCCCCTCCTTTCCTGTATCCTTTCCACTTTTTACCTTGCCCCAACTTGGCTTCCCTCATAGCTTAGGAAAAGGGAGCACTAAGAGGATTATCTTCCTTGCAGAAAACCTTGGTTGTACGTCGGCGTTTAGGATACAGGGAGACACATGGAGATTTATTTCAATTCTGCGAATTCAGGTAGATGTATCATAAATGTGTCGCACATGTAGAGACACCAGAGGACCTTCTTTTCACAGCTCTAGCAGGGGAGGATTATAAACATGTTTCGACGTCCACAGCTGTACGCAGGAAACGTGTTATGAAAAAAGAAACGAGCAAAACAGGCGACACATAAATGATAGACATTACAGCCTCACACATTTTGAAATTAGTTTATCACCCAAAAGTACACAAAAGGATAGCCGACGACGATGGTAATGTCACCTAGTTAAAGGGGGGGTACAACGATTTTCGGACTTAATCAGAAATGTGTGGAAGTTGCCCTCTGACACTTCTGAAGTAAAGAACAGAAAACCGATTTCGCCTGCTTGTCTTAGTTGTTGTGTAAAAAAAAAGGATAAATATTGGCATTTCTGGCAGCCCTCAACTCACTCCCAGTGTTCAGGGTCACACCGGGTTCCCCTCCAAGTGACGTAATTCGGGGTGCCGTGTAGCTTCCCGTGTGCCCTCTCGGAGGACGCTTCCTCTCCCTCTCTCTCTGCTGACATTAACGGGCATTATGCTACAACGTTTTGTCCAATGAACCGCCCCAACGGCCCACAGGAGTACTTTTTCCCTTTTAAATTTACACTGAGCTCCCAAAGATGTACGGCACAAAGTCAAGTTTCCCCAAAAAGTATTTGAACCCAATATTTATTTCGTGAGACTCATTTTGAGTTAAGAACAATTTCAGAACGTGCTTCTATTTGGATATCGATCTAAAATAGAAGGATGTTTCGGAATCGCTCGAATGAGTCTGGCAACCTAAATAGTTTACTAAAACTTTTGGGGGGGTGGAAGGAAGTTGATTTTGTCACATGCATGTCATAACCAAGCGCTGAAATTTAAAAACAAAATGTTTTTTTGGAGTGGAGTTAATCTAAAACTATTGGCAGCGACCTTTATCTTCGAAGTCCTATAATGCATGAAATGCATTCTAAGGAATTGGTGAGAGAATTGGTGTGTCACGTGACGTATATTTTCCCGCTGAATTTAGCAGGGAAACTGGATTGGCGTCTGGGTCAGAAGACGTGAATTTTACCACTAAATTTAGCGGGGAAACTGAGTTGACGTATAGGTTATGTGTCGTCAATTTTCCCAATGTGTATAGGTCACGTGACGCCACTTTTGCCGCCAAATTTAGCAGAAAATGCACGGACGGATGGACAAAATTTGTGGATTGGGGGTAGCGTTAAAAAGCATTTGATGCTTTTTAAAAGGCTCAACTGAATACTGAACTAGGTAAAGTGTAGTTTTTGTTTGGGAATGACCGGTTGGCTGTGGGGCAGGCTGACGCTGCGGCTGCCCCTGGTGCGGCTGTACCAGGAGGTGGAGACATACCAGTGCCGGGCGGTGGCGGACACCCTATGCACGGTGCGCAAGATGGAGCGCTCCCGCACGGACTACCGGGGGGCCCTGCTCTGGATGAAGGACATCTCTCAGCAGCTGGACCCGGACACCTACAAGCAGCTCGAGAAGTTCCGCAAGGTGGGTCACTCGAAGCACTGCTCTGCATGGGGGGCAGATGCCATTTATTCAGCTGGATAACTGAGAAATACAAGTAGTAGTATTCCCTACTTGGCCAGCCAGAGCATTCCACTCGGCTATTTGAGGAATTACGTGAGCATTGCTTGTCTTGTGGGACTGCGGCATTGAGGAATACAGGTACAGTCTAGGGTCAGTCTTTGCGAGGCGATTTGCTATAGCACATAATTCTTGTAATCTCTTTTCTAAATGATGAGCCGCACCTCATTTCTCATTGCAATAACCGACTCCAGGCGTCTCTGCTCGGAAATAATAAACTCGAATGCAAGGTTTTTTTTTATACATTCTATTTTACGACTTGGAAACATGTGAAACGGTGTCCTTGCCCTGAGTAAATTTGTTTGTAATAATAATAATAATAACTTTATTCACCATATCACATATGGTGGGAGCTGGAGAAAAAAAAGCTGACAAAGCAGCTTGATGGGTCCCCAACCCCCTCAGTTATGCAGGACCTGTGGGGGTATGCAGGTACCTATGTCACTGTGGGGGTATTATTGTAGGGGGTTGGAACAATCTACGAGGTGTGATCAAAATGTTCCGAGACTAGTTTTGTAGCATAAAAAGGGAGGGCGGCACGGTGATATGCCCGCAGTTGTTGTTATGCCAGAAGGCGTCGTTCAGTGAGCATTTGGAGATGCGCTACACAAATTTTTGTGACCACGTCTTTGAGCTGCATGGACAGCAGCCAGAGCAATTTCAGCACGAACTGAAACCAGAGTGAAGAGCAAACGTCAATTCTTCGTGAAACTCGGCAAATCTGGAACAGAGACCTTGAAATGAGCCGGCAGACTTGTTGCAAAAACGCAATGAGTCATGCAAAGTGTTTTGAGTGGCGCTGTGCTTGAAGAGTGGCAGAACATCACTGGAAGACGAAGAGAGGTAGAGCGACCTTCCCCAACCTCTTTCCTTACAATTCCCTGAATGAGGAAGTGTGGAAAGGTTGGGGAATTTCTATCCCTACAGGATCGGTCAGAGAAATTAAGCTTTCCTTCCTCTGAGCAACAGTAAAAGATGCGTGTGCGGTGCGACATACTTTACAGGCGCTTCAGCCCGCATGTCGATGCAGATCTTTGCTGGGAAACTAGCCTAACCCAGACACTCAGCTCGAATCCTCTTGGAACATGCAGACCAAGATGAAAATCCCTCTTGTCATCCTTGCGCCCTTCAATGGGGTGTTAATGCGTTTGGCACCTTAGCCAAATGGCTTCACAACGCAAGAGCTTGTCTTTCGAGCCTTCCCCACTCAACTCCTAAACGGTCTGTTTCTACGAGTTGTCCACAGCTTGCAGACAAGTTCATTTCTGCTGCTCGGGTGAGAACTCCTTCCAGTTCAAACTAGGAAAATGGAGAGGCCGAAGCGACTGGGCAGGCGCATAGCCGAGGGGGGGTGTTGAGATGTCAGAACACCCCCCGAAATTGTATTTGTACCCCCCCCCCCCCCCCTCCCCCCCTACTCTCACTGCCGCCGCCACCTTTGCCACTGCTGCTTTCTTTTCCGGGTGCTCGCAATTTCTTCCATACCTCGGCTCGCAGCCTCTTTGAAACCAGTCAATCTTTACGTGTTTAGAGTTTAGACGCTGTAGGGGAGACCAAGAGATGGCGCCAGGAGCGCATCGTGATCTAGATAAGAGCGTGCGCCGCGAGACGCGGGGGACTTTACGCCACTTGATGCTAGGGTAATAAACGTGGTGGGTTTGCTTCGTCTACCCTCGTCTGCTTCGTCTGCCCGGCTGGCGCGTCGCGCCCAGAGCACACAAGCTCTGAACATGGTGTCAGAAGTGGGATACACCTGCTCGTAGTCAGCGCTACCGCCATGCCGGACGAAGAAAAGAGCGTCCACCTCGGGGCCGCCACGGGGCTTCAACCGCCGTCGCCGTTCGTCTTCACGAGCCCAGGCGAATGGACAACGTGGATTCAAACCTACGAAAACTACGCCTTCGCCACCGGTCTACGTTCTGCAAGCGACGAAACGCAAGTAAGAACGTTGCTTTATTGCATGGGTCCGCAAGCTCGTACCGTACTAGCTTCGCTTGGCGTGCCAACCCCGGAGACGCAACCGTTTGTCGCCGTCAAGGAGAGGCTGACTCAACACTTCGTTCATCCGGCGAACGAAATTTACGAAAGCCGAAGATTTCACCGCAGGACTCAGCAGCCTGGGGAAACAGTCGACGCGTTTTTCACGGAGCTTCGAACCTTAATCAGACGCTGCAACTATAACAGCCCCGAGATAGAAGACCGCCTAGTGCGTGACAAGTTCGTAGTCGGCTTATTGGACGAGAAGCTATCGGACCAGCTGTGCCGTTCCACACGACTCACCGCTGACGAAGCACTTTTACAAGCCCGCCAGCACGAAGATGCTGAGAGGGAGCGCGCTTCTCGTTCGGCGCAAGCTGCAGCGGCCTTGAACGTCGACGCGACAAAGAAAAAGACTGCGTCATCCACTCCGTCGTCGCGCGCACGTAACCGGCAGCAGCGTTTGGACAACGCAGTTTGTGGCAATTGTGGGCGTTCTGCGCATGACCGCAAGGATTGTCCAGCACGGAAGGCAACTTGCAATTTCTGTAAAAAGCAAGGTCATTTTGCAGAAGTTTGTCGCGCGAAGAAGCGCAAGGAGAAGTTGGGCTCCGTCGAACTCTGCTCTGTTCGTACGCAACGGGCAAGATACGTCGAAGTAAGCGTCAACGGCCACGTGACAAGGTTCAAGGTGGACTCGGGAGCCGACGTCACCGTCGTTCCGCCGTCGCTTCCAGGCGTTCCTCGCAAGCTCGACGCAGTAGAAGGAGAGCTTATCGGCCCGGGGAACCAGCCACTGCCTGTTTTGGGCACTTTCCAAGCTACTCTGGCGTGGAAGGACAAGCGCACCGTCCAACAGCTTTACGTCATGCGGGCTCAAGCTACACCGCTTCTAGGGCTACCTGCGATAGAAGCTCTCGGCGTGGTCAAGTTTGTGAACACCACCTCCGCCGAGTCCGGAAAAACGGATGGACGTGTCCCGCCTTCCGACGCTCGTGTCAGCTGTGTTCCATCTTCTGACGCCCATATCTTTAAAGGACTGGGCGAACTCCAAGAAAAGTACACCATTCGTCTGAAGTCAGGGGCTCAGCCGTACTCGTTGAGCGTTCCAAGACGAATACCGCTGCCGCTCTTCGACGTCGTCAAGAGAGAACTTGATGCCATGGAAGCTCAAGGTGTCATCAGAAGGGTTGACAAGCCGACAGCATGGTGCTCCGGACTTGTCGTCGTCCCCAAGTCGTCGGGTGGGTACAGGCTGTGCGTCGACCTGACCAAGTTAAACCAAGTCATCGAGCGGGAGCGATACGTCCTGCCGACGGTTGACCAGATCCTGGGGCAGCTAGGCGAGGCCAAAGTGTTTTCAAAACTCGACGCGACCTCCAGTTTCCACCAAATCAAGCTCAGCGACGCAAGCGAAGAATTAACGACGTTCATCACGCCGTTTGGTCGCTACTGCTACCGTCGTCTGCCATTTGGTCTGGCGTCTGCACCCGAATATTTTCAACGTCAAATGTCACGGGTCCTGGAGGGGTTGCCTGGCGTCGTGAATATGATCGACGATGTCCTTGTTTACGGTAGAGACCTTGAACAGCACGATCAACGCCTTGCTGAGGTACTCCGACGACTTGAGCAAGCCGGGGTCAAGCTCAACGACCAGAAGTGTGAATTCCGGGTTCCCTCGGTCAAGTTCCTCGGAGTCGTCGTCGATGGAGATGGTATCTCGCCGGATCCCGACAAGCTTCGAGCCATTCGGGAGCTACCTCCGCCAATGGACGTTGCAGGCGTTCGCCGTCTACTGGGGATGGTGAACCACATTGGACGCTTCCTGCCGCACCTTTCGGACGTAACTGCCCCCATCCGTTCACTTCTCAACAAGTCAAGCGCATGGTCCTGGGGAGCAAGCCAAAATGACGCGTTCAAGCGGTTGAAGGCTATGCTGAGCTCGGAAACCTGCATGGCAAAGTACCATCCACGCTATCCTACGATACTGTCCGCAGATGCAAGCTCATTTGGCCTGGGAGCGGTACTGCTGCAAGATCAGCCGTCCGGAGCTCGTCGTGCTGTGGCCTTCGCTTCAAGGTCCTTGACTCCGACTGAAGCACGCTACAGTCAGACAGAAAAGGAAGCTCTCGCCGTGACCTGGGCTGTTCTTCGGTTCGACCAGTATCTGCGTGGGCTTAGTTTTACCGTGGAATCAGATCACCTGCCTCTCGTCGCCCTGCTGGGGAAAAAGGAGCTGGAGTTGCTGCCACCGCGAATTCAGCGAATGCGCATAAAGCTGATGCGCTACCAATTCGACGTTCGGCACGTACCAGGGAGACTTCTCGCCACGGCGGACACGCTGTCACGTGCCCCTTGCGATGTCCGGTCTTCTTCTACAGTATTCTCCGTCGAAATTTTCGCTAGCGAGATATTTAAAGGTCTTCCACCTCCCCTCGCTAACAGGCTGGAAGAGGTTCGTCGTCGACAAGCTGAAGATGGAGAATGTTCTCTCGTCGTCCGCTACTGCCAAGAGGGATGGCCAGACAAGAGGAAGCTGCCTCCCAACTTGGTGCCGTATTGGAAAGAGAGAGGAAGGTTGACAGTCTCGGAGGACCTTCTTCTGCTGGACTGCCGCCTCGTTATTCCTGCTGCTCTGCGTAGCAACGTCCTGGCCCTTCTGCACGACGGCCATCAAGGACTTCGCTGCTGTAAGGAGAGAGCCAGAGAAAGCGTCTGGTGGCCTAACTGCAACAGCCACATCGAACATTTGGTCACCAGCTGTGACAAGTGTGCGGAAACAAGGGTTGTACACTCGGAGCCCTTGATGTCAACGCCTACACCAGATCGGCCATGGCAACGCCTAGCCATTGACTTGTTTCAGCTGAAAGGCCGTGATTATGTTCTCATGGTGGACTATTACTCTCGATTTCCGGAAGTCGTCTCCTTGAGCTCTACGTCAGCCTCAGCGGTTATCGCGGCTATCAAGAGCTGCTTTTCCCGACATGGGATACCGGACGTTGTACGGACAGACAATGGTCCGCAGTTTGCTTCACAGGAATTCGCAAACTTTGCTCTGTCATACGGTTTCCAGCATGAGACCAGTAGCCCTCGGTACCCGCAGAGTAATGGCGCAGTAGAGCGCATGGTGCGCACGGTAAAGGATCTTTTGTACAAGTCCGAAGACCCATACCTAGCGCTTCTCAGCTACCGGGACACTCCGGGCGTCGCGGGAGTCTCTCCTGCCATGTTGCTGATGGGTCGGCGGTTACAGACGCGTCTTCCTGCTCTGCCGCAGCGACTCGCACCAGTTCAACCAAGCCACGAGAGGTTCCGGGCTCAAGACTCCAGGAATAAGGTCAGGCAGGCGAGAGACTTCAATCGCCGGCACAACGCTCGCTCTCTTAATCCTCTCAAGCCAGGTGACAGCGTCTGGGTCACGGATGCCAGCTGTCAAGCACGCGTCCTGAGCGCTGCCCAACGACCACGGTCGTACGTCGTAGAGACTCCCAAGGGAATCCTACAGCGAAACCGCCGGCACCTGGTGCCCTTCTCGCCGACCGTTACTGCGAGGGAGTCTGTCGAGCTTCCTGCTGCCGAAGAGCCTCCACGACAACCACCCGAAGAAGGTCAGCCTGGGGAGTTGCCCACTGCGGGCTGCTCTTCACCCTCTCTGGATCGTGCATCTTCCCCGCAAGGTGTTACAAGATCACGCTATGGACGTGCCATCAAGCCACCAAGACGGTTGGACTTGTAAACATCGCTTTCTTTCGAACTGTGTAACTAGAGTGCAGTAACGAGCTCCGGGGGGAGATGTAGGGGAGACCAAGAGATGGCGCCAGGAGCGCATCGTGATCTAGATAAGAGCGTGCGCCGCGAGACGCGGGGGACTTTACGCCACTTGATGCTAGGGTAATAAACGTGGTGGGTTTGCTTCGTCTACCCTCGTCTGCTTCGTCTGCCCGGCTGGCGCGTCGCGCCCAGAGCACACAAGCTCTGAACAGACGCTTTGACTAAAACGCCAAATATAACGCAATGCGTTATATGTCCGGCTTGCTCAAAGGTTATTCCCAAACAGAACCGGATTAGTGCCAAAATTCCACAAGCTCGCTGGGAGCAGGGGAACTCTGCGCACGGCATTACAGAGTGAGAAAGGCTTGAAAACCTGCCCTCGGGATCCAGAGACGCAGATTATCTCACTTCGAAATTGTCCATTCAGTCCCAGCGTAAATTGGCAAAAGGCGTAAGTTACGGCCCCGGTGAACCAGTCGGTGCGAAACAGCTGTGAAAAGTCTGCACAGGAGGAGCACGTTCAGACATTACATGGTGACATGTGTCATCTTTAAACGCTCTGATTGACTGGCTGAAGCCGTAGCCTTCGCCCCCTTTTCCAAGTTATGAGAAAAAAAATTTTTTTTTTTTTTTTTTATCTTTTGTCTTTTTTTGGTGAGTTACAAAGACTGGGCCAGCTCAGCACAACTCTACAGAACAAGAGTTTTTATACAGCAAATAAATAAAGAAATGAACTCGAAACTATGGTGCTCCTGCAGAACTTCAGGACAGAAGAAAAAGGGGGCCTTTCTTGCAAAAAATACAGAGAATAAAAAGTGACAACTCGCACACATTCTGCAGCAGTTGTGTTTGGGAGGAGAGGGGAGGGGAGGGGAGAGGAGAGGAGATTAGAGGAGGAGGAGGAGGAGGAAGAGGAAGAAGAAGAAGAGGAGGAGGAGGGGTGGGAGGGAGGGAGGGACAGAGAGGGTTAGGCTCTGGTCACCTCGTTTCTACGAGAGTAGATTGCATAGCGATGACCGTGGGGAGCTCCATAGAAATAACATCTCCATGCATTTGAGTGCGTGAACTGAGTTTCACATTGTTTAATCATTGTGATTGACAAATAATTGTGAGTATGTGTTTCCTGTGCATCGGTGCGCTGTGCCTGTTGTGAAAATGAAGTAAGCAAGTCAATTGACAACTTTATAGAAAAAAAAAAGAAACATCAGCAACCATTACCACTTCAAGCTCCCCATCATTGTATCCAGAAGAGCCAGCCCCTTCGGGAGAGACATCCTCGTCCTTTTTGTTAAAACTGGTGCTTCACTTGTAGGAGAGCACGTGTAAATGTAATTCTTCAAATTATTCGCAAAGAATATTAGATGAAGCTCACTTTTTCAGTATGTTCATTTGCTGTACGAACGTGCCTGCAGTGAGAAGATCAAGGAGAGTTATTCACTTGCACTTTCAAATTTGCTTTATACATCGGATCCTTTTATTTTTGGTTATATTACAATTGTTGTCCATCATAACTTTTTCTGTTCTTATTAGTAATGTATTAAAATGTTTCCTTTGCCATTGAGTTCTTGGAGTCTCCTGTGCACTTTCCTATGTAGGGATTATAGTTTAAAGTAAAGGCAAGTGTTTGTCTTAATCGTGTATACATGTATGTATATATATTGAAATGGAAGATTAAGATCAAGAGGGGCAGAGAAAAGAAGAGGAGGACGAGTAGAAGAGATAGGACATGGGTGGTAGATAGCTTTTGGAATACACGTTACTACAACATATATATATATATATATATATATATATATACTGTAAACGTCATATTTTTCACGGGCTCAAAAGTTTGCGATTTACGTCAAAGCTGAAGTTTTGGAATAATTCGCGGATTCTAATTTTCGCGACGCGGTGGGATCTTAATATAGATTCCAATGTGCTTACATTTTGGCGGAATTGTTCGCGGGACCTATTTTTTGCGAATTGTAGGCAATTTGCGAAACTCGTGTAAATTGTGTCTTTGCGAAAATTAAGTCGATCACAGTATATATACTAGGTAAATTTATAGGCCCTTAATAAGGGGAGTTTAAAGTTACAGCAGTTCCTTGGCAGCATGCTGTTATAAGCATACCCCCAGTCGCGGTGGCGTAGCCAGAAAATATTTTGGGGGGGGGGGGGGGTGTAAAGTACTAATGCAATCACAAAAAAAAAAAATATATATATATATAAATAAATATATATATATAGCCACTTCTTAAGGGCTTATAAGTTTACCTAGTAATTTATTTAACATGGGACATTTATTTAGCAAAAAATATCATAATGACAAGGTAAGCTGATACAGTGCTTGGCCACTGCACTGTTAGTCGTCAGATACACTAGACTTTTCACGTAAAAACTGCACTTCAAATGTGTCTCCTTAGGAGCCGATCAGGAAATTATTTTATAAAATAATAAGGGAAAACCTTGTAAAAGTCAATGAATTTGAATGCATTATTTTGGTAGACACTCGATATTTCCCTGTTAAATTGGACGGGTGTTGGAGAGGTTCTTGACAGCCTAGATGTGGAAAAGACGTAATTTGTGCGAAATCCATTCTAAGTGGCCATTTTGACTCTAGCCGTTCTAATTTTGCCCCCAAGAAAGAAAAGTTTTTAGCGCAATATTTACGTTGTGGAACTCATCCTCATTTAGGAGCAACTGTGAAACGTGTCTCTATATCATGATTGCGACCCTGAAATAGGTAGCACCTGTTTTGGAATCTCTCAAACGAGTCTCGCAACATAAATATTGCACTCAAAATGTTTTCTTTCTTCGGGAATTGTTGATTTGGTGGCGTGTCCTATCGAGGCACTTGAAGCAGCTGTTTTTGGGAGGGCTGACTTAGCTGTACACGCCATGTTTCAGGTGCAGGGTCACGTGAAGCGCACCAAGATGCAGTTTGAGAAGCTGAAGCTGGACACGCTGCAGAAGGTGGACCTGCTGGCAGCGTCACGTTGCAACATGTTCTCGCACGTGCTGGCCACGTACCAAGGCGCCTTGCTGGCCTTCTGGGAGAAGACCTCCTCGACCATGACCAATGTGGCCGAGAGCTTCAGGGGCTACCAGCACTACGACTTTGTGGTGGTCAAGGTGGGTGGTCCCTGCAGTGGATGCACCACTCGAGTCCATTTTGGGGCGGTAGGATTTGATGTTGTCCCTGTCGACTTTACTTTTGAACAGCGACCTCGTCCTGCTTTGTCGCCGAGTCTCGGGCACTTCTCCCCCAATGATAATTTTTTTCATCTTTCGTTGCAGCTTAAATTTAGTTGTTTTCCATGTCCAGTAGTGTTGCTTTGGATTAGTTGTTTTTGCCCCTCGGCTCCTTCCAGTTGCGTCTTCCTTGACTTTTCTGGACCCCTCGCCTCGTGACAACGTGCTCTGGTGCCGCGATCGGTTGATCCGTGTTGTCGTGCTCGTGGACTCGTACCATGCTTTTGGAGAGCAGAAAAGGGATCGAGTCTCAGCATATTCTCTGCTTATGATTTTTGTATGCACGGCAGAAGTTTACATAATCTCGAATAATGGCGTGCCGTGCCCACGTGAACTCGTCCGGACTTGTGGACCACGTCAGACGACATCGTCACCGTCTGCAATGCAGTGTCACTTCTTAGAAGTCGTTAAAGGGACCATGAAATTACCTTTTCACTTTTGCCAAATAACTTTTACATTAAACCTTCAATGTTCACTGAATGCCGCACAGGCATTCGTTTTCGTTTCGGTTTATTAACTTCTACACAAAAAATTAATGAAATATCAACTATTTCTTCCTCTCCAACTGGCCGCAAAACAAGCTGCGGCGTAATTTTGACGGTCGTGATGTACTCTGGCACAGGAACCGGAAGTTCTCTCGGCAGTAGGAGAATGAAGCGTTAGCGGCGGCAAGTTGGGGGTGCGCTGGTAGGTTTTACTGCACTGATGGCGCTGATATCACCAACGTTTTTTCTGAATCGGCACCTCTCATCGCCGCAATAGCCATGGATACATCATAGCTGAGCAAAATTCAATTAGATATGTTGCGGTTGTGGGTGACGCGGGCCCGTTCCGACGCTGGTCGAAACGGGGAAGTCTGTGTGTGCTTGGATGCTCTGTGCGATGCTCCTCGGCACCACACTCATCCACGAGCACACACACTTGGGGGCCTGCAGAGCCGCTCCGAGCTCTTCCCGTGTTCCGCTTTCCGCCGCACCCACTGTCACTCCCAACTTTCGCGTCGCATCCACAGGTCCAGTTTCGGCATACACTGACTTGACTCGGCTCGAAACCAAGCTGAGGTCCTCACTTTCCCATTTCTTTCCTTGTCAAAACAGCCACAACTAAAAAAAAAGAAAACAAATTGCCGGAGTTGGGGACAAAACATTCCGCTGCACCCTCCTCGAGAGGTGACCTCTCCCGCGGTTCCCAATTAGCGGGGGCCGCGAAACAGCACAAGCCGATAATCCCAGCTCTCCCGCTCAACCGGCGGGGCAAGGGGCGACCGACAACTCACGAAAACTCCAAAATAGAGAAAAATAGTCGAATTCTGTGACAACGTGGTTCATCGAGTGGCAAGCGGTGAAACTGCAACTGTTTCTTTTTAACCACCGGACTGCCGAAACTGTAATTCGGGCACTTCGGTACGGTACACTGCAGCCTTTTGGTATAGTCATCCAGCGATCGATCACAAACAACGTAAACACTACTCGAGCAACCAGAAAACGAAAGTCTGCTCCAGCAGCTCCGCGAAGAAAGTGCGACCAAGGGCAAACCTGTTCAGCAGACGACGCTCGGGGATGGACTGCGTAAGCGCAGTAAGGTCTTTCTCTTGCTTCGCTTTCGACACGATACAGTATAGACCACTTACAACGTAACCGCTTATAGTGCAGGACCGGGTATAACGTGGTTTTTTTAAACCACCGGTTCACCTCCCATAGAACTCCATGTAATTACATACCGCTTAGAATGCAGGCGCGCGAAGGGAAATACCGGTTATAGTGCGGTTTTTGGCACAGCCCGCCGACCGCGCCGACGACCGGAGCAGCGAGCTCGCTTCCCTGTGCGACAGTAGATAACGGCGCTGACGGCGCGAGCCGCGCGCTGCACTAGCGGGGCAAGGATGTTGCTCGAAAAAGCGGGGAGAAGCGAAGAGAGAGGCTTCCGTTGCCTTAGCGACGGAGGGACGCACGCACGTGTCGTTCACGTGCGTGCGTCCCTCCGCTGCGTTGGAAACAAAGAAACAAACAACCGCAACGACAGACCAATCGCAGGTCGAGGAGAAGTGTTCGCGCGCGTTGCATGCTTTCTCCTTTCCCCCCCAACCTCTCTTACAATGCTTCTCCTCCTCCTCCTCCTCTCCGGTCGCGGGCCGGCTGCTTCTATCCGTAAACATGGCGTCGGTTGTGATCGTCGTCGTAGACGGCGTTCATCTCATCGTTCTGCGTAAAAGCGCTATCCTTGATTGTGAATTTTCGTTGTGTGTCGCTGTGATAACCCAGCACGTAGTACTAGAAGGGAAGATCCACTTACTCGTGCGGCAATGTCGTGGCGGCGCTCTCAAGACGGCCGAAACGCCCGTGTCGTCGTGTTTGTTTACTTCGACTACAGTGGTGATTTCTAAGCATTTGTGTCCTCGAACATCGCCCGGATTTCTTATTTGGTGCATTTCATGCGTGTGCTCAAGTTCAAGGTATTACTGGCGCGTACGTATGAAGGATGCAAATTTTCACTCGTTTTCATCTCCGGAGAAAAGTGATTAGGGTTAGCAATCCTGAACGCTCGCGACGCCGTTAAAAGGCTGCGCCAGGCAAAAGCCGCTCATTTCTTTCAAAATGTGTGACACACTAGAGACAGAACTGTACTAGTCTGGTGAAATAAAGACTTTCCTCAAACTAAGCTTTATTTTTCATCTAACATAAAAATAAATTCTTTTACAAAGGTAAGTTGTTTCATGGCATGCATTTTGGCCTGAAAAATTGATGTTTTGGTTATAGCGCGGTACCGCTTATAGTGCGGATTTTCGCGACTCCCGAGACATACGTTATATGCGGTCTACACTGTAGATGGCGCTTGGCTCTGACTGAGCATTATCGAATTCGGCAATTTTCGTCACATCTCTAATTATCAGGGGTGGAAGCGCTGCACCAATTGCGCCATTGTGTGCCAATCCACTTTCGCTGCGCCATCCTGCTCCCTGGCGCACATGTTGCGCCAAAACTATCCAGACAAGTTTCTTTTTTTTTTTAAGGTTATATTTATTGGAGTATTCTTCTTTATTGGCCACAGTGGTTTACCGTGTTGTGTTCGTTTAGGTAATTCTGAACCAACAGAGCCTTTTAGCAAACCGTTACCGCGCACTACGGAGCCTTTGAAGCATTCCTTTAAGCACGCGCCCAAGTGATACAGCGACTGCGGGGCGCGCGCTTAAAAGCATGCTTCAAAGGCTCCAATAGTGCACGGTACGCGGTAACGGTTTGCTAAAAGGCCCTATTGTTATGAAGCCACCATACCGATGTGGTCGTGTCAACGGCGTGTAAGTCTGACTTTTGAATATGGCGCATGCGCAGGTCGCTTTGTCAGAGTACTCATCAGAACTCTGAAGTCATTGACTTCAGTTGCGAGTCAGCCGTTGTCCTGTTGTATTTTTTACCCATTCTTCGTCCCTGCTTACCTAAAACCGTTTTTCATCATGTTCATCTTTTTTTTTTTTTTTTTCTCAGTGGCATTGAGCATGACCGAGTGTATTTGAAATACCACACCCACAGGCATTAAATCGTGGTAACGTCTCCTACAAACGCCCGCCCCCAAATAATCACACATCCCTTTTTTTTTATATTGCATTTATCGCGTGGCTTGCTGTATCGGTCCACGACAAGCGTGCTCGCGCGGGTTCCCTCATGCTTATGGCGCCGTGCGTGGCAAGCGAATCTGCAGCATCCGTACTATGCAGGGTGACATGACATGCAAATTCCTAAGTCGTTCACGCATTTTTTTTTTTTTTTTTTTGATTTTTGCACGCGATATTGGTTCCCGTGACACCCGCGTTTGAAGGGGTCGGGTTCTTGCGTCTATATCGCACTGTGAAGCGCGAATGCGCTGCGTCCGCGTTCTGCTGCCGTACCCATGACTTGTCAGTTCATAGCGAATTCCCACATACTTATTGCAGACGCGAGGTTGCCATGTCTGCGATATGTATCAGTAACAAAAAGACATTGAGTGCGCAGGCGAGCTGGTGATAGTTAATCATGGTGTTGAAAACCCTAGACTATGGGGAGGGAAAAGTTGGGAAACTGAAGTTGAAGAGTTCCCGTTTCACATAGTTTGTAGTGCCCCACCCCCCCCCCCCCCCCCCCCCCCCCGACACGCACGCACGCACAAGAGATGCGGTGACTTCAGAACGATGCCAAGCTCTGATTGGTTTTGATTGAAATGATAGTGGGTAGACCTCAATGCTAGGTGCCCTGAGGTATACCCACTTACTTTTTTAATCAGGCAATAAGAGCTCGGCGTTTTGACGTCACGCGACCCCTGTGCAAGAAGCAGACAAACTTGCGCTCCGCATTGACTTAAGAAAAACCTTCCGTTTTATGGTCTTACTTGCTAGTTTTGTCAGTCAATTCTTTTATTAAACTCCTAGACAAGCTTTCTTGTTCTTTTTTAGTCAGTGATGCCTGTTTTAGTTAGGGTTAATTAAGTGCGTATGTGTATAGGTAGTAGCATGAAGTTTTCAATATTTGGCATTTGTACTTTTATGAGATGGAGTAGATTCATACTCTGTTGAGTATTGGAATACTTTGGTTGCTAAACAGGGACTTGAAACATTTGTATTTCCTAATAATGAACTGTAGTCAGTATTGGACTTTATTTCATACCATACTACTGCAGCTTGAAATGGTTTTGTTTTTAACTTATGGAACATGCGATTTAGGTTGTTAAATAGTGAAAATGTTTTGTTTTCATGAGGCTTAAGTTGTTCCTCTTTAGTTGCCTGTGCCTACTATTGTAAATCCATGAGAGGACCAACCCGTTACCACCAGGACCGTTCTCAATGGCAGCCCTTCAAATATTTTTTTGCTATGGGCTGGAATAGAATTAAGGAAAGGTCACGTTTGGAAATGGTCCTGGAACGTCACATGGAGATGCTTTTTTATTTATATTTCTTTTTATATTTCAAAAAACAGACCTGTGCTTATAGCACCGAGTTTGACTCAGGTTACCAGCTCCAAGATATGCTTATACTGCTACGAGACTCGATTTTTGTTGCTGCTCCAAAGCTGCTCCAAAGCTGAACTTTTACTGCTCCAAAGCTGCTCCAAACGGGCACCTTTGCTGCTCCCAGACCTGCTCCAAAAGGATGAAGCTTGCTTCCACCCCTGGATTACGCTACAAAATGTGGATCTGAATATTCTTAACAAACCTTTTAGAAAACATTTGCCGGCTGTTTATTGTTTATGATCGCGGTGCTGGTGAGGTAGGCTCTTACCCAATAGGTGACATGGATTCGGCTGACGTGCTGCGGTTCCGTAAATGCATAGTTGTGAAAAGGCAGAGAGCTTTCGAAGGAAAAAAGGTGCAAAAGAGTCCGGTTTTCTTTTTGAAAGTTCTATAGCGAGGAATTTTTTTTGGCTCTCTATTTTTGTGTTTTTATGTTTCTTTTCCCACCTTTTACGACGTGCGGTGGATGAAATTCGATTTCAAAATCGTTTCATGGTCCCTTTAAAAAGGGAACTCTATTCGATGCCGATACTTCGAATGAAGGCGTGCATGTGCTGACATACCTGTAAACATCTTGTTTTGATGGCATTAGACAATTCACATTCTTCCACGACGGCATGGCTCACTTGCTTCAAAAAATTGTGCCCCCCCCCCCTTCCTCCCCCCTCCCCCCCCCCCTTCCGAAAGGATATTACTAATCACTTTTTGAAAATAAATAAGTTGAAAGAAATCTTACGAGTGCCTCTACTGCACCCTACTTTGGTTTCGTTTTTACTTATTACAGGACTTATTAGCTTAGAAGTAATTTTAGAAGTTCTGCATATTTTTGTTCTGCAGGGTTGAGCACCGAAGACTTGTCATTGTTTTCAGGTTATTAAAATTGTACGACTCGCAGATTATGCGACGTTTTAGCGTGGTCCCCTGAAAGTCGTATAATCGGGGTTCTACTGTAGTGACATGCAGTGTGAAATATTCATCTGTTTCATTCCTAAAAGAAGGGTCTAGAAAGGATTGTGACTATGAAGTTTCTGCAGCGACGCAGTGTTTCTCGTGCCCTGTCAGTTTCGTTGTAGAAGGATTCAACTCTAGTATTTTACTCGGAGCACATTGAGCCCGGTGTGTTTACTACCTTGCACGAAGTACAAAACCTCTCAGTTACTTTGTAGTTGTGTACTTTTTCAGCGTCCTTATGTCTGGGGTGCCTGATAGTGCATTCCTTTCTAGGAGCTTCAAGAGCCCAGCAGGAGATTGGCCCAGGAGATGGGCAATGGAGAGGACAAGGGGAGCAGAGAGGATAACGACAGGTGGGTGCCGCCTGCACCACTCTCGCTCATTAAGCTCCAAAAGCTTATCTTTTCGGGCGAGGAGGAGGGGAGGGCAGTGAGCACTGCCTGTGCTCAGTGCTCTTTAACATCATTCTTGCCAGTTATTGAAAGCCTTATCTGATATCGTAGGAAACACTTTTCCGTCCTCCCGAAATGTCGAAAACAGTTTATGACGGAGCGAAGCGATACTGTTAGGGCTTCCCAACACTGTGCCTAAACCTCGGGAAGTTGCATTTTCGGATTGTAACAGTCGTAAGTGGTGCCCACTTTGCACCGGACACAAAATGGTGCCACCCGCGAGCAGTGGCGTAGGCAGAGGGGGGGTTTGGGGGTCCCCCTTCCCTACCCTCCCCCGGGAGACAGTTTTGCATGGGGGCATGGAGAGAAGGGGGAGCGCGGACTATCTCTAACTTATATGCTTTCAGGAGAAGTTGGGGCGATTGGTGGCTGAGTGGGCTAGCGCACACCAGTTCGGAGCACGTGGGGCGAAAGCTCACGCTGCAGAACCCAAAGATCCTGGGTTCAATCCCCACCCCCGCCCGTTTCGATCTGGATGAGCATCGTACCGGCATGCGGTCATGTATTACTACTGCGTGGTGCACGTTAAAGACCCCAGGCTAGCGGTTGTACTGCACTGACTAAATTTCTCATCTACAGCGAGTGACTCGCAGCAACTTTGAAATGGCTGACCTCTATAAATACCACACAGCCCCCAATCCCACCCTCCTCATATAGTTATTGGCATCTATGTTTTTTTTTATTGTCAAAAACCGTTTGAGTCGGACGCAGTGCAATAATGTTCCTGCTTACTATGAATGGCTGACTCGTATATTTTACCATACGCGCGTTTTATGTACCCGAAGTTGAGCACGTGGGAAAAGTGTTTGTGGGGTAGAAAATGCTCAAATAAATAAAATAGGCAATATTTCTTCATTCATGTTTATTTGATGGGATGCGGAACTTGATCTCATATATATAGAGAACGGATATTTCGAAACATTTGTGGGTTGAATGAAGGATGGCAATTTTAAGGCGAAGTATAACAAACTATCTTCACTAAAATGCACAGTTCAATCAAACGAAAGTTACGTAATGAAACAAACACATGGTCATAATATAAAAAGATGTCAGTGATATAAGTAATATAAAGAACTGCACTGTAAGCAACGGGTGGCGCTGCGCTCGCGCACACCTTGAGTACTACTCAAAATTACGTGCTTTCGACTAGTAATTACCACAAATAAAAAGTAACTGTGACTAGTTATTTCAAAAAGCAATTTTCAGGCTCTCTTGATCCTCTTATTTATGCCAAGCGCCTACACATTAAGATGCAGCCGCCTGCGTTCATGGCAAAGAATATTTAGGACGTCCTCCGCTTGAACTTCAATGTCGCGGTGAACATTCAAAAGCTCTAGACAGAGCAGTGGCTCATTTGAAGTGGACGCTCTCGGGTATGTTTTTAGCCGTTGTAGTGAGAAGGGAACGAGCGCTCAGCTTCCGCCGTTGTTACGAGCAGAATCGCTAAGACCTTGAGGAGACGATGGACGTTTTGGAATAGGTATTCCGGACAGAGGTCGACCGCTTGCAGCGCAGACATGACGGGCGTTTCATGTTTCTCCCTCTTGCATTTGGCAGCCCATATGAGCAGCTCTCAGTGGCGTTCAGGAACTGAAACCAGGCCTGAATAGAGCTCCAAAAACTGTTCAGCGCCGGGAGCTCCTCGCTTTCCAAGATCTTTGCAGGCAGAAGCGACGAAAGTAATTGCAATGTACGCCGGCACTTTTTAAATCTCCCATCTAACTGTGTAATCAGGTAATCCATGAAAGGAAGGAACACAGAGCGCTTAAAATGCTCTTCCGTGCTTTCAGCGGAAATGTTAGAGCAGTGACGTTGCCGACTTGTTACTTGCGGCATCTGACTTCCAACTTCCGCTGTCTCAGCCATTTTAATGGCGGCTTGGAATATTGCGTAGTATTTGTGCGTGGACACTTGCTCTGATTTTTCAGTGTCGAGATTTTTTTCTTTTTGCGTTGGTGTTTAATTCCTTGTGACAGTATAGCTATCCTTTTGTTTTGTCTGGCCGGCACACGTTGGTAATGCAGTGGTACCTCAAAAAGCGGGGCGAGTTGTGTGCTGTAAGGAAGCTTTTAAAGTTGGGAGGCCGCAACTACGACGACAGTAGAACAGTGAGCCACCACGCCCGTATTCCTGCGAATGAAGTCTGCTCCGTTTTGAAAAATGATAATACAGCTTTACCCATTTTATCTTAACAGCGCCTCCGTAATCTTTTCGTGATCGTCCGTACCGCCGAGTTCACCTTACTTCGTCATTGAGGGGGGGGGGGGGGGGGGGTAGTAGGGGGTAGGGTAAGGTAGGTAGGTAGGTAATGTTATTGAACCCCCCCCAAATTAAATCTTGGCTACGCCACTGCCCGCGAGACATTTGGGGAATGAGACGTCGATTCTCTACTCATAGCTTATTTAATGACTCTCCTGCCTGCTAACAACTGGTTGCAAGGTACTGTTGCAAGTCTCATCACCACAACAATGGGACAAAAAAAAAAATTGTAGAGCCCATCCACTTCATGTGAAGATGGAGGACCAGCAAAGCTGTTATCTCTACGACAAAAGCTACTAGTTTCCGCTTGGCATCAGCGGCCCGATCTTCGTTGCTCATTTTCGCCCGACGACGACGTTCACACTCCCGTTTCTGTTGCCGCTGACGCTCTAGACAGGCACGTTCTTCGTCGGTGAGTGGAGGATCAAAAGAAGCCGATGGACCCACACCATCCACCGCACCACGTTGGGCCGCTGCGCGTTTGGCTTCTCGACACTTTCACACACATTCGCGCTGTTGAGTGCACTGACGATCCCTCCTAGGTGCGCTTTCCTCTTCAGAGCGAACATCACGCGGCCTACCCATGGTGAGTCCAAAGGGCAACTGATAACGTCGCTAGGAAGTGGCTACATCAAAAGACAAAGGAATGCAGCCATTGGTTGGTTGCTATTTTAGGTTTTACAGCGACGTTACAGCGAATAGCTATATTGATTGAATAAAGACACATACATTCATAAATGTGATGAGCTCTTTCAATACATGACGTTGTAAGTTCTAAACCCCATTTTTCAAGGAATACCTTGACAGTTTTTCCCGATTGAGCCTAAGTCTCTTTAACAGCATTGCAGAAGCGAAAGAAAAGAAGGTTAGATGGAGCGCATTCTGCCCTCAGCTTCGTCACAGCACACTCTTAGCTGAGATAAGTCTGTGACCGTAGATGATAATAAGGGGTCAGGACCTGACTATCTAATAATGCCAAGGAAAGCTGTAAAAGAGGCGGGTTTCCCCCTCTTTTAGAGCGGAGCTGTTAAGGGCTAGGCTCCCCAGGATCGTGTCCGTGTATGTCGGCACAAACCTACCTGGACAGCTACCGCCATCTATAAGCGACGGCGGCAAGCACACAACCAGTGTGGTTTCCGCCGTCGCTCATAGATGGCGGCAACCTTTCCAGCTATAATAGAAGAATGGATAGTTGGGCGCGTTGGTGGGAATTCATCGTAGAAGACAGTGCGAAAGACAGACGATGACGAAGAAGAAGCACACAATGTATTGAGTACAGCTCTGCTGATCTTCCTTCTTCACGAGAGTGGAAAGGCTGAACGTTTCTATTTATTTATACTTGCCACGACCAATCGGAACAAAGGAGTGCCGTTTAAACGGGAGTTTTTTTTTGTTAACGTCCATGGACGCTTTTTGTTACAGATCCTAGCACATAACAGCTTCGCTGTAAAAATTGTCTGCATGTTTGGTAATTTTGCCAAACGTGTAGCTTTATAGGGTAGGTGGTGCTCTTAGTTTGGGTGGTGCCTAGGGTAGGGTTTTATATGGACACATTACATTGCACCATTGTCTCTTTAGGACGCTGCGTGCGCTCCCCTTCAGCACCACTCGGATACAAAGCCTTTGCCCTGAATTTTCTGGGTCACGAGGAGAGGGGAAGTGCACTTTTCTGCCCTTTTCACTCCTCGTTCTGCACGCTCTTTCTGCACCACCTGCTTCTGCACCTCCCATTCCTGCATGCTGGGTCCATGGCTCGGTCAGCAGAGCACTTGGGTTGCACGCCAATGACCGTGGTTCGATCGATCCCTGGCACCGGTTTCCATTTAGTATTTCAAGGTCGTTGAGTGGTTACGGACATAGGCAGGCGTCGGCAGGGGGGTGCAAAAGAGGCAGTTGCCACCTCTAAGCCAGACTGCCCCTCTCTCAAGCAAGTAAGGAGTGTGACCTTTGGTTTGCTAACAAGTGAAAAAACAACCGAAAGCAATTAAAAGAAATATTGAAATTAGCTATCAAAACATGAAAAAAGGGAGATGTCTTGCCCCTTGTTCCATAGAAGAAACATATGGAAGGAAAATTAAAAAAGCCAAGCCCCACTTTTGCTTCAGCGACCGCGACTCCTAACCCTGGGTGGGGGTCACAGTGTAAGAAAGGTCAGTAGTGATGAAGCCCAGACTCCAGTGCCAAGTAGAAAGTTGGTGAAATGACCCCAAAAACAAGTTCTCAAGTTCCTTTCTGGCCCTTTCATTTTTGTGTACCCTTACGTCTACATCCGCTTCTCCGTTGAGATATTGCCGCAGTGCGCGGCGTGTGCCCGGGGCCGTGCGGACATTGATAGGGAGGTTGGACCCCATGCGCCCCATGTGCTGAGGATGTGGGGGTTTAGGCTGCCTTTGCAAAAGCCACACCGAGTGCCGCATAGCTGATGCACCAAAGGATGTGCATGTGGTGGCCTCGAGGGAGCAGCTCTCTATAGTCGGTGACAGGTTAAGAGAGAAGTAGAAGTTCCATCCTACCTTCTTTCATTTTTGCAAAGTGAACGCTGGAGTGGAGGTCGCCTCCTTTCTGCTAAAGCGGAAATTGCTGGGAGGAGCTTCCAGTTTAAGTCTTAACCTGTCACCGACTATAGCCTTACTAAAGTACCA